CTTGTGCTAGGGAAGTTATGAAATTCGACGAAAAGGGTAATCCGAAGACAAAGTAGTGAAGTATATGTATAGGGGAGTACTAGCCCCGGAGTGAAGCGAATTTGGTTGCCAGTATCCTTGACACCTAATTTAGTCTCGTGTATTCTGTACAAGAGCAGACAAAGAAATTTGCCACATAAACTTTAGGCACGGCTACTCAAGTTGGTTATTCATGTAGATCAGGTCATGACCTAGACTTGCGAGGACTTGGATCCATGTATACGTATAGTATACGAGGCATGCTCCGGGTTACCCTATTCAACTGCTTCTTGGCCTCCTGACTTGAACGGGACCCGAATAACCGAGTGTTTATAAATAGTTTGTGCATTTGCATATATAGGCACGGAGTTAAGTGTATTGGCGAAGAGGGTAGTTATTTTAAATTAAAAACCGTGGATTTAGGAGAATTCTCGTCCAGGTGTTGTCTTGGCTGTATAGCTTACTGCGCGTTACGAAAGCGGTGGGATAGGTAACCTCTATGAATTCTACACTAAGAAGCATTTAGATGGCTTGATATTGTATAGTCCGAGTGCAAGGTTTGCTAGAAAATAAGGCGGCTTAGGTATGGGACAGCGGCTTAGTTCGGAGGTCTCCTAGTCGAGGCTAGACACGACATAACCTCGTAAGGAAAATACCCTCGAGCTCTCGGACCTTGCCTTGACGATCGAAATTGAAACAACCTTCACACATATACCTACCTGTACGCCCCAACAATAATATAATGGGTTACTGGAAGTTGTCTCCACATCCAACGTCTCACTTTTCCTATAAAAATCCAAAGATTCGTTGTCGCCTAGACAGATCCCGACCCCTTCCCGAGAGACGCCTGGTCCCGTTAAACTGACAATCAACATCTTTCGAGCCAAATAACTGATACTAGGCCAGTAAGAAACTTTAACTACACCGTTTTTGATAATATACCAGGCTCATAATTCTTTTCGTACTTTCCTCCGGCGCCAGTATAGACTACCTAACCTAGGTACACATGTCAGGTTAAAGTACCCAGGTATATAATCCCATAGTCGACACAACGATTAGCTTAGGTACCTAGGTAAGGAAAGTAGGAGCTCAAAGGCAGACATGTTCGCTGTGATTTCTCATTAAGGATGTTCTCTGTAAACATACAAACCCGTTATTAGGTATTCCCGCAATCCGGTATGAGGTATTTAAGTCCCTAACTTAAGTAATTCAGTGATACCCGAAGTTCCTGATAGAATTCGCTTTCTATACTATATTAATTATATAATCATAACTCCGCCTACCTTTGGTTGCTAAGGCTCAATCTTCCAGCTGCATATGGTGGTGTACTTGTGGGTATTGGTGTATAGAGATGTACTCACCTGGAGTTGGGTAAATCATCCCGTATGAAAAATAGTTGAAATAATTGGTTGAAGGGGGATACATGAAGCTATAGATACCCAAAAATGAAAAGGGAAGTAATTTTCCCCCCCTGTGTTGAGTCTATTTTATCACAGGGGTAGAACTAGAAGGCGTGGAAACAATTTCGTGATATTTAAATCTAGCAACTGCTAGCAAGGTAATGTCAAGGTCCTACTTACCGCCTTTCTGATTTTATTTAACCTGATAGCTAGATGGATACTTACCTGGTACTTATATCCCTTGGGGTCCTACTATTTCTCAATAATGGTGCTGTACTTATAGCTCTAAATTTATGGGATCTTTGATTTTCGGTTAAATACCAAGCTACCGCATTAGATATCTATTGCCTTTCCAAGATAGATGTAATTTTTATATTTTGACTGATAACTGATACAATCTCACGAATTATAGTCGGCAAGATAGCATAGGTAACCCTTCGTAGTTTGGCGCCTCCTAATTGTGGTATCTTTATCCACTGGATGATAACAATAGCTAAAACCATCTTCAAAGACATCTAATAACTCAGTAAGGTGTTATCTTTGTCATCCTTCTCATAACTTGCTAGGATTTCGTAGTAAGACGTACTTAGGAGATACTTTGGTTATTTATGGTGGGACGAGGCATTAATGCTTGTTTGTGCTTGCTATTTGATGGAACTTTATTTTCTATTTCTTGTTTCGCATAAGGGGATCAGTATGAACTACTATTATGATTTTAGATGAAACATACAAAGAAAATGATATTTTAGTATGTATAGGCGTAGGCTTCCACAATTGGGTTTATATGTCCTTGAGAAATAACAAAATTGTTTCGATGCCTTCTAGATGTATCTTATGACAACTAGGTACCACGGATGATTTCCCTCAACTTTGAAGATGCCATATGTATGACGCATATATAATAGGTACCTAACCTAACCTAATGTACGCGGGTCTTACTTTTAGAAATTAGCTAGCAATGCAAAGCGGTGTTGCCTAGCGTTAAGGCCGTGGAGGCTTTACTACCAGCTGTAAGGCGAGTATACGCGTCTGACATCGTGATATTCCAGACGTAGGGTCAAATTAGAGGTAAGTAGAAGTGAAAGATGTGAGGAGCTGATACTGCTTTGGCTGAAGGTTGTTTAGGGGGTTTTATATATTGTACGCACTCGTGAGGCCGACGTGTTTCTCGTCGTTCGTTGCGATCCGAGTACCTATATCTAAAGTGGTTGCCCGGCAAGGAAAATGCTTTATTGACTCGCGGTTGTTATGGCCATAAGGTTGCCTGACGGACCATATAACCTCCTAATTTAGTACCTTAGGTATCTAAGTCAGGCCCGTATGTAACATAAATAGGAGCCTTGCAGCATACTACGAGGTTATTCTAGTTTTCTAGAACACCATCAACAATATCGCCTCCCGAATTCGGCCTCGCGATAATTCCATACATAAAGATACCCAATCCATCATGGCCTCTGAACCCCAACATAGCTCCCGTGCAACCCCATCAACCGAAATGGCGCGCCCCGCCAACATTCCCGCAATACAGGATGGAATTCTACTCATGAGCATCATCTACGGGCTACGAGATGACATCCGAAACATGGAGGCGCGCTTAAATACCCGCCTCGGACAGCTGGAGGATCAGCTTGCTGACGTTCATACTCATATCGATGAATGTCGCAATCAGATGAAGGTTCATATCAACGAATCGGGCATGGCAACTGCTGTTTGTATCTCAGGCGAGTAAGTACTTATAGTAACTTGCAATAGATTCAACTATTTCCCTTAACAATTAACTTATTTATTACCTACAGCACTGTTGAGTCTATTTCCCAGCAAATGAAGGATCTGGCTGTCGAACTGGCACGACTTCCGAAGAGCAAATAGTAAGACGCGATACCATAATCGATAGTTACTATACTTACATATGTGTTAGATTATCCTCGTTGCGCGTTCGGAGTTGCGGAGGAATACCTGGTACCCAGGTCCCAGGTAGCTTACGGAATGTTGCGTTGGTGCATTTTACTACTTAGATTAAGTAGCCGAGAATATCACGACCACGCCTACTGATCATCGTATATTTGGTGCCTTCGTAAGGTCTTCAGTTGTAAAACTTGTGTGATGCGCTTGTAGATGCCGCTGGGGTTTCTCCCCCTATCTTACTGAATGCCCAATAGTGATTTCATCGGGATAGAGCAATTGCATGGCTACCTAGAAGACTTCACTAAGAGCATATATGTATATGAAGTCAAATTAGGAATTTTACTCAAAGTTCATCCAAACTTTAGGAGATAGTTATATTTAGCAAAGCTCGTCATTGGATGAGCTTCTGGCATATCTCGTATATCTTCGTAGAGGACAGTTGTATACGATGCTAGTGGAAGAGGATATGAGGAGGATATGGTGTAAACAATGTCTCACCACATCTATCTGCTGCGCCACCATCGCGGATATTATGGTATGGTATATTCGAACGTACCTAGGTATATGCAAATATCCGCAGGACTTCAGCCCTATCGGCTCACATAACGATACGTTGGAATGGACCACTGAGGCTCGTTGTCAATGTCACGTTGCGTCTCCATTCGTATCGACATCCATTAAAGGAGTCTTAGAATCTGTCGGACTGATCAACTGCATAAGACTACAGCGTGAAATTCATTTCAGTCCTTGATTAATAATTAATAACATATTATCTACTATGCGCATGGAATGGTTAGTCTAAGTAATGACGACTTTTCACTGGCGAAAACTCCGGGAATAACAGAAAAATATAACCATAAAGGTGCCCAGAAGATATATTAGCTGTTGAAAAGTGGAAGCTAATGGAAGATCCGGCAGTGCTTTTAGTGAATATCCGGCGGTAGATGCAGATGCTAAAAACAGCGTCGTACCTGTCCCCTGGGCAAGCCTCATTAGCTGCCGGCTAAGCGCTTTTTAGCGCATCTCCCTAGCATAACCACGTACTAGAACACCCCACAGACGCATTAGGTAATAAAAACCCTTAACGGAACCTCATTTGCTAGTAGACACCTGACATGACGTCGAAGAGACGTGATTAAGGTTGTACATGTATGTATGTAGAAAGTATATGCCGTGTTCTTGACGGCATACGAACTAAGAAATTCCCCTAAAACTTCCCATCTGTGAGTCTTCAGCCCTTTGTGAGCCCGAACTTGAATAAAGCATCTCACCTCAGCTCTAAACCAACCGAATGACCCGGCATTGCGGCACACGCAAAGGTATGTACCTATATTAAGTATTGTACGTGTAACAGAACATCTCGTACCTAGGCCACATGGCACGCGCATAAAAGTAAGGGACCCTTCCCGCCTGGGTTTGGTTCTATTTTACGAGGCGGTGGAGGAAGCGAATTGAAGTGAACGAGCTGCGCTAAGCAAGGCGGAGCTGAGTTCCCTCCTGGCGAATACCGGCATCTTCGCTGCTCGGGCCAGCTAATTCGTGTCGATCACTTCGTATTGAAAAGCCTTCCGACTCCCGAGCAGGAATCCCGAGTGGGCGCATTATCCGCAAACAACGTGCTAGATATGTGACTAGTGATGCCATTTTTTTCTTCTGTTCTTTTCGCAAAGGGGGCGAGGGGTTGCTGTGATATATAAAATGTGAATGGTTGCCCGGCTGGTAGGTTGATATTTTGGTCTCCTAAGTAACAAGAGAATTCAAGTTCACCTGTAGTTACAAAGACTTCATATCTACAATTTATAAAGTCAAGCCGTCATAATTCCTAATTCATCCTTTTCTCTCTAACTACCCAAACAAAAACAACAACAACAACCAACCAACCCCATAATCCAAAATGGTTTCCATCAAGTCCCTCCTCGCCACTGCCCTCGCAGCCCTCCCCCTCTCATCCGCCTACATCACCAACATCGCGGCTCCCGCTTCGGCCAAAGCCGGCTCGACCGTCTCCGTGACGCTCACGGCAGCCATCTACATCCAGAACTGGGATGACTTCGGCATCGTATGGGGTCTAGCGCCCGAGGCCTGGGACTGCGGCGACATCGTCTGCGTCGGCCGGCGCGTCGCCTACACCTCTCTGTTCCCTGACAACCAGCCCCAGCCCGGCCAGTTCACCATCGACGTCCCCATCCCGGACTCCTTCACTGCTGGTGACTACAAGCTCGTTGCTGCGATCCCGTATCTCGTCGGCGTAAGTACTTTTCCCTCTCTCTCTCTCTCCTTTTGAGAATCGTGAGACTATTATGTAGTTTATACAAAGACTGACGAATTACACAGGCTTCTGGCATGACCCAGATCCAGAGCCACAGTGCCAACATCACCATCGAGGCCGCGTAAGGCAGGTAATACCTAAGCTGCCTAGGAGTTGGGAGTTGGCGTATCTTACCGTATGCTTGGAAAGTTCTCGGAAAGCTAGATGATCATGACGATTCTGCGAGGAATCAGCTACGAATTTGCATAGCATGCACACGTACATGCACAGGCGTTAAGTGTACAGAAACGATTGTAATTTTGGGACTGCATTGCGTTTTAGCCATAGCATGAATTTATTATTTTAAGTGCTGATGCGAACACGTACTTAGTGGTCCTTGAGATCCTAGTAGTAATCTTGTTTGTGTATGTAATTTATGTAAAGACACAACCCGAACACCTTCGCTATGCGTCATTATCAAAAAGGTAACAGGTCGACTGTCCTGCTATTCCGCTATCCTTGGTCGCTCCATTGTAAGAAGAATCTCTTTCGCCTTGAGGCCTATTCTTACATCCTTATCCCCTATTATCATAATCTCATGATGGAATCCGGTTCAGAGCCATGTCGTGAGTATGTCCATTCAATGGTCTACCTTATGATACCATTCTTCTGGTCGGGGTAGCGTATAGAACTCGATGGCACCGGCGACCTCTTGGATAACCTGGCGATGAGGCATTGTTTTTATAAGCTTGGTGACGGAGGGTGATGTCTTTTCTCCCCACTAGAGGCCAAGCATGTGTCGGACGCCATCTCGCACCTTCTTCTCGTACTCCGCGCGGTTCTCCCGCCACATCTTAGCCGCCTCGACGTTGGCCGGGCTCTCGTCGTTGGGCTCCGCTAGCATACTCATGACAGATATCAGGATCTTCTCCACCGACTGGATAGGACTCCATCTCTCCGACGCGTGCTCATAGTGGTTTGGGTCGTCTCCGGGCGGGTGTAGGATAGAGATGCAGACTAGGCCGCTCGGGTAGACTGTTGTTTGATCAATGTTAGAGAGGGTTTAGTTGGATTTATGCAGTAAGGGTTAGACAAACTATTGGGGTGGAAGATCTCGCCCAGAAAGGACATCTTGGGTGGTGCCAATGGGTAGTCTTTGGGGAACCTGAGTTCGGCAGGGAAGACGCCACCTTCGAAGGGTGTTCCTTCGGGGCCTTGGATTAGGGCTTCCCAATGAAGCATATCGTCCTCGCTAACTGGACCGGCCGTAATACCATCAGGAGGGTTGTTAGTTAGCATCTTATACTCTTGGAGGAGCCGGCGGTGGGCTGTCGATTGAGCCATCTTTGCGATATTTCTAACTACGGTTTTTGTATGTACGTTAAAGTCTAGGTTTTAGGTCTAGGATCAATCTTTGTTTTATGGACGTATCGTAAGGTGAAGATAACCAAGGCAGGAATGAATGAATGAATAAAACTTGAGTTCGTGAAGTCGTGAATATGCAGCTGATGTTTTCACGGGGGAAGGAATAAATGCAGTATGTACTGGAATAGTGGAATAAATGTCAGTCAACGCAGATCATTGGCGGGGTTTAACTTGAGAAAGGGAACTCGCCTTCTGTAGTACATTCCAGTACCTATTGTACAATTAAATGCCGGTCAACCTCATGTCAGGATGGTTACACTACTTAGGTAAGACAAGCCGAAGTTATTCCGATAGAAGCCGCGCTTCCATTTGGAGCTTGGTGGGAGCTTCAAAGCTTCCAACTTGAGCTTAAAATTGAAAAAGTTCCAGAACTTCTAACTTCTAATTGCGTCCACTTTCAAGGATTCGAGGCAGCATGCCTCCTCGATTTGGTTTGCAGCCTATTAGGCGCAAAAGTTCCCTTTATTTAAAGACCCAGAGCGCCGAGAGGAATTCGGTATGTTTCTTTTGCTCGTTATCGAGTCGACCTAGCGCAAATTCCGGTCGTCGTTCAAGACGAAAGTCACCAAATCCTCGCCGTCTCGCCTCGACGGTTTCCTCTAGTTCCAATCGCGTGGTCGCCAATCCCCGCAAGGAACTGGAGGATATTCTTGTCGATCTTGAAAAGCACGCTGCCAATTATGTCAACCTTCCCCGCTTGCAGTTGGCCATCAATGGTCTGCGGCAACAGCCGGGCAATGAATCCATAAGGGTAGCTGTGCTGGGTCTAACAAATGGGATCGAATCTAGCCAGACCGCAAAGCAAGTGCTGAAACTCTTACTCGCTGATCCGCTGAAGTCGGAGGAAGAATGGGAGAAAGAAGTCGATAAACACAATTTAACACAGCCCATGATCATCCGAGTTGGGGAAGATATACCCCAACAATTTGGATCTATCTCGGTCTCTACGAGGGATAGCTTGTTACACGAGATCCATGTCTCGTCTGCGACGCTCAATGGACACAATCTAGAGTTACTGCTTATGGAGGTAAATCCATCCATGTCTGCGCAAGAAATGGGAGCCCTTGGGGAATTTGAAGATTCGGCGCTTGTTCCTTCAGTCGAGATCCCTACTTCTAGTACGGGGAGACATACTCCTCTAACGACACCAGTGCACAAAGCCTTAGTTGTGGCAGATGGAATTCTTGGTCTTGCGTCGATAGTGTCGATGCCTACACGGGAAAGTAAAAATGTGATCACTACTGCGGTGAATTTGCCCGAATATAAAGCAGCAAGTGATTCTTCCTTGCCGTTTACTCTTATTGACGTTGGAACCGCAAGCGTCGGATTGGGTCTGATTCGCAAGAACCTTAATAATGCCATCGAGTTTGAACATCTCTGGTTCCAAAGCAATATTCCAAAGTTGGTCGAGTGGTTAAAGGCGGACATCATGTCTTCTTCTGACGGCACGACTAAACCACCCGTGAAGGAGCTCATAGATTCACTACTCAGGAATACGTCCGCAAGTATAGAGCAAGAACAAGCCCGCCGGATCGGCTCGTCATTATCTGCAACGCTCTCACCTACACCCCCAACGGTGTTACAAAATAGCCTTGATGATTGGGCAGAAAACGCGCACACCGAACTACAAGAACAACTTGACTTGGCATTCTCTAGCAAACGATGGCGCAAGTTAGGGTGGTGGAAACTATTCTGGCGTGTGGATGACGTGGGGATGCTCACGAATGATATTCTTAGCCAAAGGTTCTTACTAGGATCAGAGAGAAATGCCATCTTTCTTGCTGGAAGAATGAAAGAAGCGGGTATTGCCTTGGGACCTTTCCCAGATCCATCATCTGCCGAGGAAAATGGTGCTGAGTCCAATCAGTTGGATGTTGAGACGGCTACACCCGCAACGGTCCCTTGGCCGGTAAATATCCCCGCCACGCGCCGTTATCTTCAAACAGAAACCATCCCCGCCTTACAAGCACTTGCGCAAAAACTCACGCTGCAAACTCTTAGCACGTCGGGGCTCACAACTGCACTTAGCGGGCTTATTTACTTCAGTACCTTGACAACAACGCTCTACGAAGCCGGCGCGGTTGCCGCATTGGGTATCGCATGGAGCCTGAGACGCATGCAGAAGCAATGGGAAACAGCGCGGAAGTTCTGGGAAGGGGAAGTAAGAGAGGAAGGCCGCAAAGCGGTCCGAGGTGTTGAAGGTGTGATTGGCGATGCTCTGAAGCAAGGTCCTGCCCCCAAAGATAGGGTGGATGGCCAAGAGGAGTTGGCTAAAGCTAAAGGGCTGGTAGAGCGGGCTCAAGAGATATTGAGCAAGCTGAAGTGAGATATAAATCCGCTGTAAAAACATGTACATTGATTATGATACCAATAGACACAACACACCCTCGCGTATGTGCGACCAGTAACGAAAGGTTCCTCGTGCCTGTCGTTTGAAATTACTTGTAGCCCTGGTACTATAAAGTATCGCCAGATTCGTAGGGAGAGTCGCACGATACGACTAGCAAAGCTATATTTAAAGACTACCTAGAGCAAGTGAGCAAGCTTCTTAGGAGTATATTTCCTTAACTTAGGTACCCTCCTTTTTTTAATTTTCCTTCTAACCTAACCAAGAGTTCAATTCCTACAGATACAGACTCTCAAGGTGGCGTAGTAACCTACCAAGACGACTTAGTATATCGTCATGGAAAGGGGCTCTTACGTGTCTTCGAAGTCATTGCGAAGTAAAACAGAGGCTGATAATTCGGGTAGGTAACTATGGTTTCTTAACCTAAGGTATAATCCAGGAGTATAACAAGCTTACGAATAAATGGCTACAATATATGATTTACCACGTAGAAATGATGGCCTAATTGGCCGGCTGATAAATGCAATATATTCCGTCTCATAAACCTACTTAAACCTACTACGATCCAAATCCATATATTTCATGTAGATAGGTACAATATAAATAATGGTATCCGCGCTATTCCCGATTCCAATGAAATAAACAATATATATACTGCACCAACACACTACCAAATCCAGTCCTTCTAGTAGTAGGTAAATTCCACTACATCCATCACCACTCACCCCCACCCCAATCACCGCCCGAATAATCCACCGCACCCGTCTCCACGTAACTCGCACTAGCATCCACGCTGAAACTCCCCTCCATCGCCATCATAGACGTCTCGTCGCCCATATACGCCGTCTGGCTCATGTCTACGTTCATGTCGACGTTTACGTCTACGGCGACGGATGCATCGATGTACGTCGCGTTCGCGTCCATGTACGTTGCGTCCGCGTACGATGCGTCTATATATGCTGTTGTGTCCGAGTACGCCATCATATTCGCGTTCATATCCATGTTCATGTTTGAAGAGTCCACGTATGCCGCTTCTGCGAACGCGGTAACTTCTGTGTTGGCGTTGCTGTTCGTTGCGTCCGTATACGCTGTGTCCGTATATGCGGTCGTTTCCGTGTTCATCGTATTCATGTTCGTTGTATTTTCCACTTGCGAAGTATCCGTGTAGTTCGTATTCATCTGCGTCGTGTCTGCTATTTGCGTGTTATCTGTGTAGTTCATGTTCATCTGCGTTGCTTCGGCCATTGCGGTGTTCTCGATGTTGTTGATTGTCGTGTTATTAATGATGGTGGTTTCTGGCTGGGGCGCGTAATACGACTCCGAAGTTTGGTGAGATTCGGCGGGAGCCGGTTCGGAATATGTTTGGTGTTCTTCGTTGGCGTATCCGGTGTTTTGCTGTTCATCGTGATTTGCGTAGTTTTGCTCGGTGTGAGTTTGTTCATGGGCCCCGGTTTGAGCTTCCTGATACTGTTCGGAGTAAGACTCATGATGCTGTTCTGACTGGTTCGTATATTGTTGCTCGGAATAACCTCCATGGTACTGTTCAGACTGTTCTGTATGGTGTTGTTCAGATTGTTCCCCATGCTGTTGCTCAGAATAAGTTTCGTGCTGCGGCTCAGAATTTTGAGTATGCTGCTCAGGATTTGCAGCTTGATGCTGCTGAGCCGTAGAAGCCGGTGCATCAGTTCTACCTCCAGCTAAAGCAGTAAGAGCACCTCCGATTGTGGCGCCTATGACTGCGTAAGGGTCTGCACCTCCTTGCCCTTGATACGCGGGTTGGCCGGGAGGCATCTGGTAGGCGGCCTGGTTAGGACGGACTTGGTAGAAAGGTTGACCGGGAGGACCCTGGAATCCTGGTTGTCCAAAAGCAGCAGATTGTTGCACCTGTTGTTGCACCTGTTGCTGCATCTGTTGCTGCATCTGTTGCTGCATCTGTTGCTGTATCTGCTGTTGTAACTGTTGCTGTATTTGCTGTTGCGGTTGCGGTTGCGGTTGCGGTTGCATCTGAGATAACGGTGGTCGTCCCACTGGAGGCCGTGAGATCTGATAAGGGGCTTGTTGGTTTGCCATATTTGGTTGTGCAGCATTATAATTCGCCGGAGTTCCTGTCATCCCCGGGTTCTGTACTATAGGGGGCCGACCCGGTGTCTGAACACCAGCGGGTTGTAAGCCCTGCTGTAGCTGAGGTCGGTTCATGGCCTGCACCTGTTGGGATGCAATACCTCCGCCTTGAAGTATCTGTGTCTGTGGTGGCGTAGTATAAGCATGCTGTACACCTGGCGGCCGTTGTTGCTGGCTGTTTTGAAGCTGACCCTGACTCTGATGTTGGCCTTGAGGTTGACCTTGCATATTATTATATATATTATTTCCCAGAGAAGCTCCGGTTGCCCCATTCATTCCAATTGACTCGGCAATAATTGCGCCCCCTATCGCCGCCGAAGACTGTTTTAAAGCGGGATTCTGCCAGGTCTTCTTGGCCCATTTCTTCATTTTCTTGCCTGCATCGGACAGTGCAGCAGCTGCCTGAGCCGAGGTGAAAGGTTTATTCTGTCCCGGTATTTGTGAGAAATTAGAATTAAGCCCGGGGGTTTGGGTTAGTTGTTGCTGTCCTTGTACCATCGACTGACCGGCGAATTGTTGCATGGTTGGGGATTGGATCCCCTGAGATATCTGCGACTGTGTAGTGGCTCCATGTATTGTGCTCGTAACTACTTGCCCAGGTTGTCCACTGGATAATTGATTAAGATTACCCATGCTTTGTTGCATATATGTTGGATGATTTTGATTATTTACGGGTGATTGTACAAGGGTTTGTTGTTGAGTCGGTGCCCCCTGTATAGTCGGTCGAGGTTGTCCATGCTGTACTGTCGACTGAGTCGGCTGCCCAGATACTGAACTTCCGGAAAGTTGTACATGGTTTCCATTTATGAGCTGTTGCTGAGGCGGTCTCTGCACTGTCGCTTGCACCATCTGTTGGCCTCCGGGTTGCTGCTGGGTAGGCTTCACTGATACCGTCTGTCCCTGTATATATTGAACTTGTGCTGTAGTAGTAGGTATTGACTGGTTCTGTGTGGGAATATGGGGCGATCCGACTTGGGAAGGCAGTGGCTTCACCTGCCCCGGGAGCATGGGAAATGGTTTTGAAGCACCGTTGATAGCAGGGCTGGGTGATTGAGTAATATGTTGACTCGCTTGAACTTGAGACGCTTGCGCCGCCGTCGGCCTTATAACATGAGGAGAATTCTGATGAATGGTCATATTCGGCGGTCGGTTTTGACCTGCAGCATTCTGCGCAGTACCGTACGTATGTGACGATGCGGAGGATGGCGGTCGATGGAGAGAGGCGATCGAAGGAGCCGGCGAAGAAACCTGACTCTGTAATGGAGAGACAGGTTGGGCTAGAGGAGATGGAGGCTGTGGTTTATGTTGCCCTGTAGCTATACCGGTCGGCATATTCTGGCCTGGCTGTTGGTTATTTTGGGGCCTTTGACTAGGGGAAGAATTTGATGGTGGTCTCTGTTGATTAAATGCGATGGCTTGTGCGGTTGTGGGTTGACTCGATGCATTAGCTGAAATACTACCAGAGGCCTGAATTGTAGTCGGTATGCCATGGTTGGGTCTTTGGACAGGTGCCTGTGGATTGTGCGTATTATTTATAATCGTCTGACATTGTGAGTGTGTACTGTCTAAAGAGACATGTGTTATCGACGAGCTCTGCGAAACTTGAGGAGAGTGCTGTGATGAGTCCGATATTGATGGCTTCTGGTAATTATGCGCTTGGATAGGTTGTCCAGTTGGCTTCCCAGGAGATACTTGAGGTACCATGGGATTAGGATGGACCTGTGGTACAGAACCAGGTCTAAGGGGTCCCATAGATGATTGAAGTCCTTGTTGAGACGTAGGATGAGGTCGTATTGGAATATTAGTTGAACCCATCGCAGGGGTTCCAGAAGTAGGGCTAGCGTTTCCAGTGTTCTGTGAAGCTAAAGGTTTCTTCTGTGGCTTACTTTGGAAGATAGGAGAGCTAGATATGGATCCTTGGGCGCTAGTATTCGAAATTCTGTCTGGACTTGCTGGTTTCTGAGGTCTAGATAGGGAAAGCGGAGCAACTACAGGGAGCGGCTCGTTCATGATAGGATGGAAAGTTTCCGTAGGCTGATGAGGGTTCTGGAAAGAAGCACTTTGGCCGCTCGAGTCAGCCAGGGCTGCGACAGGAACGGAAGGCTTGCTTTGCTCGGCCATAGATCCTGTCGTTGTTGGTATTTCCTGAAAGACATATATTCCGGGTCCCCCTATCTTTGGCGGGGATGGTATATGAGATGATAGTTGAGTTGGTAGAGTGCTGACCCGATGAGTACCTGGACGAGTGATATTTGCCGTCTGGAGCGGACGCTGATCCCCCGGGGTGCCATTCAAGTTATGAGCAGGTCTGAGTATCGATGGCATACGAGCTGGACCAGAATCAACAACAGAAACCCCCGAACCATAAGAGATACTCTCGTGCCTGGCGCCAGATCCTGGCAAGGTTGGGATGCTGGTCTGTGTAGGCTGCGGTTGTGAATTATCTTGTGTTACTTCTGTTGGTGGCACTGCGGGTTGGAGGACAGTTGGAATAGGTGAAGTATCAACTTCTGGGAGAGGTGTGGATGTAATTGCTGACGTCCTAGGATCTGACGGTTGCCTCAAAATACCGGGGAGGTTATGAGTCTCTTCCGAGGGTTCAACAAGCCCTGAAAGCGAATGCCGCTTCTGGTTGATAGGGCCAAGTTCTGTGTTTTGAGACTGAAGAACTGATATACTGGACAATGTCATAGAGGTTCTATATGAGTTCTTCAGTTCCTCACTGTTGATTCCATGTGTGGGTTTCCATGTCTCGTATTCGTTCTGCTCTATCCTAGCCGCTGGTGGCCGTTGAGAAGCCACGACTTTCTGTTCTGCCTGAGGGGGTTCCGCTTGCGCGCCATCCACGGGCTTAATGGTCTTTTTTAGCGGAGGATAGGCAAATGAAGCCGAAACTAGCGGATACTCTTCAACAGGTTCCATGGTCTCTCGAATTGGATGCTGTGCCGGTGCTTTCTCTTCCACTGGATTCCTCTCCGTCGACAATTCTACAACAGCATTCTGGTGAACATTGGGTTGTAAGGGTGTTTGGGCGATCTGGGTTGCATCCATTTCGATGGGAGCTAACTCCTCTGCGCATTTTTCTGTGTCGCCGCTGGCAAGCTCGGAAACGAATCCTACGGGCGACCATCTTTGCGACGATTCAAGTTCTGCTAGTGGTGATTTGCTCTTATTGTTCATTAGGGATGCTGGCCCTGCGGTCGTATCGGTTGTGACACTGTTCTCATTACCGGCTGAGCTTCCATCGTTAAGCCCAAAGTACATAAAGTCGTCTGGGTCAAAATAGCCCGTAGCCCCCATTTCATCTTTTCCATTAGCCAGCGCCGTCTTTCCGTCATTTCTGGTTACATTTGGAGCGCCTTTCTCAGTAACTTTATATTCATCAACGAGTTTATTCACTGGAGTAATGTCGAGGGGCCCGAAACCGATGCCTACTAATTCGGGAAACTCGTCGCCTGGTCGCGGGAAATGGTATTGTGTAAGGCCAGTGGTTTTGAAGCGGTAAAACCACCGACAACCGTCGTAATCGGACTCCCATCCTTCGGGAATATGTGCCATCGTCAAGAAATGCGAGTCTAGGACGACGGCTACCCTCTCAGTGGGGTAAAGAGGGCTAAAGGTATATGCGATACGGCAGAATCGTGGTCTGGATAGTAGAGGGGCTCGAAACACGCAAAATAAAACTCAGTGCCAACTAAATCAGGCCAGGCCAGATTAGAACGAGAAAAATTAGCATCTCCTTAAACGGATGGCTTGAGGAAGTAAATTCTGAACAGCCTTCAGCAGATGACAAGAGCGAAGGAGGCCCTTCCTAGGCGGAAGTATGAGAGCCTGAGCTGACTTGTTGCCCGAAGTGGTCGAGACCACGGTAAATTGCCTTGCAGGCTTCTTTCTAAGAGGGCGTGTTGCCTCCCAATTCCCACGTGGTCTAGCATGATGTCTAGCCATTCTGGATATTGGTCCGTCGAATGGTGGCGTATAGCGTGCAGCAGCTGAACTTCGAAACAACCATTTTCGTAGTAGTTTGTCTGTTTGCCAATCAAACCACCAATCCCAAATTAATTCCCCACGGGCGTTGAAGCTCATGAGCAAGTCTATCAGGAGACCATAATATAAAACTTCTGAAGAAGTTGTAATCATCCCAATATAATAGGTTGAAGGAGAATTCATATATCATAGCTATAATAAGTCAATAATATTGAACGAAATATTCAAGATATCCACTATTGTCTTCGGGGTTCTAGATCCAGATCTACGTTACAGTAACATCAGCATTTCAGCTCGAGCAGGGGCCCCTGGTCAGCCATTCAAAGCTTAGGAGACACGCGCTCATATACTTCAAACGAATGCTCAACTTAGCTCCCAATCATTCTTACAGATAGATTCTCGTGGTAACGGTAAGCGAAATATTAACGAATCATGAATTGCCTTCACGAAAACATTCTACCTAATCGGATGTTGAAGAGGCTCTATACCCCCATTCAACGCTTAGATAGGGGTCCTGTCTTACCCCAAATTAGTACGTAGCTGTATAATACAGTCAGGTTTAGTACAATATACTGCGTTCGGGCGTAGTACAGCTATAGTTTACTTTTATACATAATTCCCCATCCGGCCATTGTCCAGCCGTTATTCAAGTTAAGAACGCTTAGATATCGAATGAATTGAGTTCGACACTGGCAAGTATTGGTGTACTATACCGTTTCACATACATGGAAGATACTTTAGATATAGTATAAATCAATAGCCAGGTAATGATGGTCATGATTATGGCTATACCTAAATTCGTGGATGTCTAGTGGATGTATATATCATCTATGTAGATCCCTACATACTCAGTCACCTTGAGGCATGACACTAGTGCGTTGAATGTCCAGAGCGCCCCCTTCAAGGTAGGCAGAGATAGAGTTTCGCGTGACATCAAATCCTCCGCTTCCGGCCTTCGTCTTACTCCGGGGGCGAACGAGGCTATTCGGACGTCAGCAGCCGTATAACCTTATACCCTCACGCCGGCCTAGCTTTATTCCGTGTAACCCCTCTCCTCCAGAGTTGGATGAATGACCACCATAGTAATATCAAGCCGATACTTTAGCGCGGACTCCTTTTTTATCATATCACAACCACAAGTAGTTATTCCATCTGTTCCGGAGATTCCGACTGGGAAGCCGATTTACGCAGTCTAAACTCCTCGACGCACTGCACAAGAATTTCCGGATGGAGAGCTTTCCCTTTAAGCTTTTCGAGTAACTCATCGGGTGGACAAGTCTTTATAATATACCGAATGTCCGTCGAGGACATGTGTAGCCTGCTATCGCTAGCCGGGATACAGCGAATCCACCAGTTGGGGTGCCGCCTGTTCCAGCAGACACGCATTCGGGTTACCATCTTAATATATCTTAGGTGTAATTTCTCGGTCGATTCAGCATTAGATCCTAGGCGTAGGACGTAGTTTAGCTTAAGTCGATACGAATTAAATTCTTCGAAACCCCAACTTACCTTGCATTATGAGTGCGAGTGAACTCAGAAGCCAAGGTGGCATATTCTTGATAGCCTCCCAAGGATGTGGGCGACCTCGATAGAGAATCCGTTTCCAACTCCCATAGCGGTCAAGCTGTAGGCAAACTTCACCCTCAATCACAAAATCCGCTTCTCTCCCGACGTTACTGACAATTATGTTATCGCAGTCCCATGGGCTGCGCCCAATCCTGTCTGGCCCGCTCAAGTACACAAATTCCAAAATAAAACCATCTTTCTGAATTGCGCACGTAAGATCTCTACGGAAAGTATCCCACTTGCTGCCACCTTGGTCATAAACCCAGAGCCAATCGTGGGGTCCATTATCTCCTGACCATAATCGGACCCTCTGGGCCATTGTAAAGCATGCGTCTTCCACATACTTCTTCGACGAGTTGTTCGACGAGTTGTTCGACGTGCGGTCGCTTACGGGGATAACTATCACAGCGATGGCATCAATATCTTGAGAGCACGAAAAGGCGTAGTGAACCATGGCCTGATGGGCGCGGTGCGGGGGGTTGAAGACTCCAGGGTATATAATAATTCGATTTGTCCGGTCCTGTCTGAGCTGCGGTCTATAATATCCGACACCCTGTTTAAATATCGGGCGGCGCTCGGAGGGGTCTGTTTCATCACCGTAGTAGCAAGTCTCGATATAGTCCCCTAAATCCGCAACAGTGGACTCTTCGTCTTCGTCATCGGTAAAGATCGATATCGACGAGAATGCCTTTATTTCGGCAGCCATTACATCGGCTGGAGAGTTGACTTCGCTGTTGATAAGTGGACTGCACCTAACCCCGATATACATTTATCAGTGTTCCTGATCTACTTTGAAAGGGGTAGACACATATTTGCTGATGAGTTTTACGTACTGAACCTCCATAGTTACGGTGTCTAAATAAAATAAATATCTCGTAAAACAACAATTTTCATTGCCAACGTAGTTGTCCGTATGGTTTTCTATTTACAGTGTAGGAAAGTTTCGTTGATACTCAGTTTTGATTGAAACGATTGGATGCAAGTTGTCTAAATGACAGTGACAGCTCAGTTTCATGTGTCCTAATTGTTATTGTTCTGCACTTGCGTATGGTTGTTGTCACGCACTGCATGTTAATTGCTTGCCGAGAATAAAAATTACTCTGAATATACTACGATGTACTTCGAGTCACGGGCCAAATCTTTACGTCACAATAGAATTTAATATATTCACGGATTATACCTCAACACTATGATTAGGTGACGAGGTACTGCCTTGGTTAAAGCATGATTTGCATGGGTCTCGCTAATAAAAATAAAGAAAGCTCATGAACTTTTGTCAGATATTCTATTTGTCCGACATATAAAATGTAATAGAATGAAATCTGTTACCAAATAACCTTTTAATGGTATAGCTGTTTGTTCGACAACTTTTAGCTTTAACTTTTGAGTATCGCGAAACAACAATAGATATGAAGGTCTGAGCCAGAAGTCTTGCACATGTGGAGGTCCCCAGCACCGTATTTCAATGTTACCATTTTCTATTAATACTGTACCAGCCACCTGCTAAGCTGGAATTTGAATAGTAGCCCGTACGCTAGATTTAGGTGGCTCATCACTATATTTTAGCGACATCAGCCACTACAGCTCAAATGATACCGTGCTGTCCCTTTTTACTCGCACGTTGTTTACCAAGACCAGATGGGCAAGACTTGTAACCCAAACCTTCGTACATAATATCTGAATATCAATACCTATTGTAAGTAAAGTCTTAAGGCCACATTGATGAAAAGAAGATTATGAGTGTTATAAATCTAAATAAATATAAAGAGTTACCTAACCTAAAACATCACACCGACATAATAGATAACTAAAGAAGATAGTTTAATAGTCTACAATTTCTTTAGGTTGAATTTGTAATTAGGTAAAGACTTTATAGTATATTCGTACAAGTTTAAATAAAAGTCTTATAACTAGACTAACTATAAGTTATCTATTGTGGTATAACCCCTGCTGGAGGGTATAAGAGTCTTTGTAGCATAAGGTGCGTCGACACATATTGCAGAAGACTAGCCGCTATGTATAGATAGGTCTCGTAGTTAAGTTAGAGTTCCTCGCAGAACAACGAAGTTGTCTCCATTCCGTTTGGTTCCACTTCGTGACAGGGACGCAGTAGTGTAGAACCCCCCAAACCACGCAAATGGACCGAGCGGCGCCAAGGCCGTGCGTAGGCACTTGAAGTAGCGTTTCTTCATAACGGAACGGTAATCCCGGGTAAACAAATCGGAATATAAATTTATAGTAAGGCTGCATATGCGGATATCTCGAGAGATAGATTGCAGCGCATAGCGTGGAATCGTGCCGGGGACAAACTTCTCAAGGGAAGTTCAATCCCCGTATTGTCGGTGTTGTATCACGATCGCGATACGAGATACAGCCACGCGGAGTCCGCCATGCGGTCTAGAACGCTGCTGTGCGCATGTTAAAGGGTGTTCGGTTGCATGTTTGTTACTTACTTTTTAGGTATAGCATTTTGATCGATTGAATAATTTAGTTATTATTTTGCATTTCTTGGTAGCTTCTGGGTGTTTCAACTTTAATTGCTCTTGGGACGATATAAGCTTGTTTGGTAGATAAAAAAATTGGGTTCATCGGCAACTTCCATTAAGTACGTGGAATTGTACCTTTGAACTTTTCGACGGGAATAGGGGAGATCTCAACCGATTGCCACGGTCATGGTGAGTCACCTCATACTTCGATTCAGGGGTAATCGGGTATGGATCTAAAGATATGATTTGTGGCCTGACGTTATCAACTTATAACTGCTAACAATGAGTTGATAGGTAAGGAGTTCGGGAGTGGCAATATGTTTATTCTTGCTAATAAATAATAGCAGCATACATTATAGTGAATGAGTCAATTTTACTGTACATAAGTCACGATGTCCTCAAGTGCGAGAAAAACACAGGTACACTGCTGGTCTAACCTAATTGGTTGACTTCTTTGATATTATTCCTAGGATGGTATTCTCGCACTTGAGAACATAAAATGAGTTATTTTCTAAGCAGTAGGTTTCGGGGTAAACCGTTCTTAAACTGCTTTGATGGTTACACTAGACTCTGACTTGCAATAGCATGTACGGATTAGCTAATGAGCGCATTGACCACAGTCAATTGACTCCCTAGACCTTCGTTGCTAGTATGCTTCAATACCTATCGTAAATACTTGCGATCGTCGAGTTACCGATATTTTGCATTCTCGTCTGACCAATTAAGAGCGTCGTCACACAGGCTGCATCAGAAGTATTGTTTCCCGCAGTTCGTTGCAACGTGTCAGACTCTTGTCCCCATACGTTCCGCAACAGCTGGGCGTAGATGACGACAGGAGACCCATTTGTTTGGCGCGCAGCGGTCCCACAGGCGCACAAACGTTGGGTCTCTCCTGCAAAAGATCGTCGCTGGATCTCTCGTAAGAAAACGATCGGGGACTCCACGGCCCAGAGATACATAGATTGCGGGGTTGGCATATTCGGCCGGTGGATTGGGTATGTCAGCAGAGGAGGGGGGGAAGAAGAGAAGGAGGAGGTATTTATTTATTAGTGTAGCGCTATACAACATGGAATTCGCGTGCGGCGGCGGACAAGTTGGGAACCCGAAAATATGCACTGAGCCGAGTTAGGTAAGACATTGACGTCAGAGTGTCTATAGCTTCAATAAGGAAAGGGTTCAATAAGGGTCGGTCTCGCATTTGATGATACTTTATCATGTCTAATGGCGTAGATGGCGTCGATAAGCAGTAGCTGGATGGTGTGGTGTCTTGCGCAACTATTTGTAAATCTGTATATGAAGATTCTAAAGTACCTCTTATTCCCAGACAATTATATCGTTTATCCCGCATCTCGCTTTTCAACTTTTTGATACTATATCTTGCAGCTGCGTTTGTCGATCGCATCGCGGGATTAAGATAAAGAATGGTGATGTAAATGCGGTGAACTCACATTCGGTTGCATATGCCCACAACGTCCACAACGTCGACGCATCTTCCTTCTCTCGGAACGACCGGGGTTACCTAGATGCTTTAAATGACTCTGTTTGGTTGAGGCTCTGGGCTTTCTAGGCTTGCTTTGGTGTGCAGTTGTCTAATTAAGCGGCTTGGCCCAATCAACCAATCGTATAACAGGATGAATAGTCTAACATGAGGATCTTGAGGCGTCGTTCCCGCTGGTCCGCTACAAAAATTTTAAGTCTAAGGCTATTAAGGCTATTAGAGCCCCACTGCCCCTGCATTGATAGCTGTACCTGATAGGTTAATAAGTCTTGTTGAATATGGACGGTGTGCTTGGTGAATACTTCGTACTGTGACTTTGAACTAAAACGAAACAAGTTATGCTTGCATGTGATTTTAAGCAGAGTTCACATAATGCTATAATTTCGATATGACTTACTATACTATGAGGGCTTCCATTTGGCTTGAAATATTCAGCTGTTCTTTGAGGCTCTATCTTGCGCTTGTCATCTTGTTTCATCTGTACCATAATCGTAAAGTTAAAGGTTTATGACAGCATTGTAGCGGAGTGAATGGGGGTTGGGCTCGCACATACCGTAGCCCCATAGTGGAGCGATTTGTATGTGGAGTGGGGGTGTGCATTGCGGATGGTTAGACACTGTATCCCTATAATTTGAAGTTGTGTAGCGCAAGTAACCTTACCGTCGGTACTAAATCAGGTCTGTTGATAGGTGATAGGCTACTGTACACTACACTACCTACATGATCGTGCTCCCATCATACATACCTATGTACCTAACCTATTGAGATTTACTATAAATCGGTAACCAACATCCATCTTGCGTATTGAGATAGATAGTTGATTTATCTTTATTGAATTTTTAAAAGGTCATCTTTGTTGTGTTTCCGTACTATATCAAGCCACCCGTCGGCGTTTCCATGTATAATGGCAAGTCTATAAATAGATTGAATCTAGATCTCATTCAAGAGTTCTATTATCCACCTTGTCTGGCCACGATGAAATGTCTTTAAATGTCCTTCAATGCGTAGGGTCCCACATGCTTCGTACAGTATCCACATGCGTATGGTATCACTACACTACACTACACTACCTCACTACCCTATATTACATACGTACCTGTGTTTAGGTACACGTAAACAAAGAGAGAAGTAACGACTAGACAAGTAGGTAGTTGCTACCAACTCCTTTATGTATCTTTGAGCATTCACAGTGCTTAACCCCCCACTCAATCTAGTGATGGTTGGCCACTAGCGTAACATGTTTAGAGGTAGCAACCTTGCCGTTTCCCTTGAAGCCCTGGAAGCCAAGAAGGTCCCAAGGCAGGTCCTGGATCCGCTCCTATCAAAATTTGAACAAAGCTGAGTGGGAGCATGTGGGCTGGGTGGGTCAAGGTTTCGCGTCATCTCTAAATCTTGAATATATCGATGATCTTCTCCTGAAAAAAAATCTCCATCTCGGTCCAATCCACTCTCTTAAGTCCCGAAGGCATAGTGCTACATAGTATATACATTCGTTTTCCGATCCAATTTCCATTCTTTTTTAGCTACCTACCCAACGTTTCATTTACTGCTTCTTCTCCAGACATCCCCGACTTCTACCCATTCAATAGGGATTCAGGGATCGTCCTAGGAACATACAGATCTGGACCACTTCATTGTGTGTTACGATCCGTCACAGCAGCCCTATTCAATAGCTTCATCATTCGTTACTCATATTTTCCTCCTTCGACAACCGGTCTGTAATAATAACTTGAACAGCATATTTCTTGTTCCATATCTTCTCTATCTCTTGGTCTGATTTAGGGGCTTGGATATCTTAATGTTTGCTAGTCATCGTACCGGTAACTGGTGATAGCTCTCAGTTGATAAGAATTTCAACACCGCTTCTGAATCGCCGTTTGATAGGATACTTCGGGATTATATTCATTTCAACATGCCTTATGCAAGCAATCATAACGAGTTCGACGAGAAGGGTTCTCCTACTCTAACTCACTTCCCAACTGCCTCAGACACAGCTGGCGAACAAGACAAGTATACGGAGAAATATCCTCCGGAGCGATCACAACACCTACAAGTTCCTGCTGAACCAGGGAGGATGCCGACGGATCATTCCCACCTCTCAGACACTGAATCTAGAGACCAAGCTACTCGATTAGTTGACGATCTCACGTTACTCCAGGCAGAACAGGCGGTTAGCCATCGGGAATCGAATGAACTTCGCCGTGCTCACTCCAAATCTCGCAATCATGAGCCCGAAACCGAGGATGTGTTCAACCAACCCGCCCAAGCTTCTTCTACTATACCGCTGGAGAATCCTAATCAACTAAATAAGGTTTTTAAGGGAATCAAGGGTCTACCTCGCATAGTTCGATATTTCTTGTACAGCTTACCCATTGCAACTATTTTACTAATCCCTGTCTTACTCGGGAGGTTTACGCCAAAAGACCAACAGACTGTCATTGGAGGGCCCGGTGGTGAGGATCTAATGTGGTTTGGCATCTGGCTTGAGGTTGTTTGGCTCTCCCTGTGGGCGGCGAGAATAGCCACCTCCATTCTGCCGTTTATCGTGGGCATCGTTGCTAAGGTCTTGGGCTCCGGTAATTCTAAGAAATGGAGGGAGATAGCCCGTCAGCTCGAGTTGCACACTGCGCTGTTCCTTTGGATGCTTGCCGTGCTGATCTCGCACTACCCGATCCTCAACAACCACAAGGTTAAGGCCAAGGTACCCGAAGAAGCCGACACAGAATACCCATTTATAAACTGGATCGATGTTGTCTACAAGGTTATTGTGGCATTTTTTGTTATGGCCATCTTGAACTGGGTTGAGAAGATTTTGATCCAATGGATTGCCGAATCTTTCCATTTGCGAACATATTCGTCACGTATTGAGACAAATAAGCAATGTGTTGCGTAAGTTACATTCGTTTTACCATTTAAGTTATTAACATATATCGCTAACTGACGCTTAATAGATACTTAGTTCATCTCTACGAGTATTCTAAGGATAAGTTGGTCCCGGAGTCATCAGTTATGGATAATCAAGGACCGGGCTCTGGCGCAAGGACTCCCATGGCTATGTTTTCAGACAACGCTCGTGATACTATGGCAAAGGTCGGTGATATTGCCAACCGTGTGGCAGGTGATTTCACTGGGCGTGAAGTAAAGGCCAGAAACCACCCGCGGAAAGTCGTGTCCGAGCTGCTCCGTAATAGCAATTCCGCCCAGGTCCTCGCCAGACGTCTTTTCCGCACCTTTGCTAAGCCTGGTGCCGATGTCCTAACACCGTTGGACTTGAATCCGGCATTTCCTTCTATTGACGACGCAGAGGCTGCCTTTAGTGTCTTCGACCGCGATTTGAATGGGGATGTCTCAATGGACGAGCTTGAGGCGTTCTGCGACGAGGTTCATCGGGAGAAGAAAGCTATTGCAGCTTCGCTCAAGGACTTGGATTCTGTCATCACGAAACTAGACAGAGTCTTCTTTTTCATTATCTTCATCATATCAGTCATTGTATTCATCTCCATCATCTCTGCTTCTACAGCAGCGGCTCTAGCTTCTGCGGGCACCGCCGTTCTGGGTCTCGCGTGGGTACTTCAAGCTACTGCCCAGGAATTCCTGCAGTCAATCATTTTCGTTTTCGTCAAGCATCCGTTCGACGTTGGCGACCGAGTCACTATCTACGGCAATACTGGATCCTTAATGAGAGGCGATGATTACTATGTGACTGAAATATCGTTACTCTATACCGAATTCAAGAAAATGCAGGGTCATATCGTCCAGGCGCCCAACTCCCTTCTTAATACGATATTTATCCTTAACCACCGACGCAGTGGTACTTTAGCCGATGTGTTCGAACTTCGAATGAGATATGGCACCCCGTCCAGCGTTATACAAGAGCTCGAGGCTCGAATGACGGAGTACGTAATGGAAAATAAGCGCGATTTTACTAGCAAGATCCTTACGGAGCTTGTAAGTTTCGAGGATGCGTACTGCATGACGGTCAACTTTATCTGTTTCCACAAGACAAGCTTCCAGAACGAATTGACTCGTCTCATCCGTCACAATAAGTTTGCTATCGAGCTGATGAACCAGATGGTGGCGCTCGGTATCGAACAACCTCGTCGGCAGTTCCAAATTTCTGGACAAGACTGGCCCGTTTTCCAATCGAACATTCAACCTCCGTCGTATGATGATCGTCCGCCTCCAGTAAATCCTGCACTCTTAACCGCTACCCGTCGACGTGCCAACTCGCACACTCAGGATACCACAGGCGACATCTTCCAAGACGTCTTCGTGGCCCGTAAGCCGAGTAATTCGGGTATTAATCATCCGCCGCGCATCAACGAGGAGCTCGCTGAATCCAGCGGCTCCATGACCGGCAGCAGAGAGCGTCTAGAAAAGCTGCCTTCTAATGGAAGCGGCACCGGCCGCAGCATCCATCGGAATATGTTCGGGCGATCGATGACGATGAGGAGGAGCATCGACCGCTCCGAGCGGGATAGGGAAATGGTGTGAGGAAGAAATAGGACTCTCGATTAGTGAGAATTTTCTTCGTGCTTAATGATTTACGGAAACCAGCAACATTTTTCTTCTGAGCGGTACATAGACTGGAGCGAGATAAGGTGTAGATTGGTTATATACCCATTTGGAATGCGGAGCTACTTATTTAGATGGCGTACATAACTGGTTAATCTGAACTATGGTTCTTTTTCAATGAGTCTTTTAGATAGGTATTTAGGGCTTGTTGCTAAGCTACTCCACTCCTATCATCACATCCAATATTGGTAGTTTAATTGGCGGCCTGCTTGTTATAAAAAGGGAGATAAGGTGCTTGACTTGGCCTACTGATATATTTATCTATTTATATGGTGGATAGTATTAATTGTCCCGATCAGAATGCTGCCGTGGAAACTCATTCGCGTAGTCGTTAGCATAATGGACGTCTAAAGCAAAAGAATTGCCGCATGTAAGGCGCTCTTTCAATGGTCAAAGATAACTGCAACGCCAAAAGCATCACTGTCTTCTTAATAGATGTCATAATGCACTACCTATTTGATACAGACCAGGACTAGTAAGCACGTGCATATGTCTTTTGGTATTATAAAAATATCTATTAGAACATGAGCGCCATTGTGTAGTTAGTTAGTTCTTCACGTAGTTAGATGAACAAATATATATAAAGCGTCAAGATCATAACATAGCATCCAACAAGAGTCGATTAGATTCATTCAAGAAGATATATCCCATCGCCATGCCGTGTATTGTGCCCGTGCCGTACATGTAATGTATTCTTTAAATTCCCAATTGCCAAACCTAACCCAACAACCCCTTTTCTATGCAATGTTAGGGTTACCTAACCTAACCTACTACACCTACGGGTATCTCAAATATACAATTAATTGATTTGATAAATAAACAAAAGAGGCCGGCCGGAAAAAGTTCACGCTTGCGTCAGAAGAAACCGTTGTAGCAGTAGTAATAACAAGAAATCATGATCTCGTGTCGGTTGATTTTTCTTTTCTTTCGAATGACGCCTCTGGTAACGCCGATCCATGAATGGTGTGATAACGATAATGTCGGCGAAAACAATCCCATTTGGCTGTCCACTTCCGCCGATTTGATCAGACAAATTTTTTTTTTTTTTTAATTATCGTGTTTCTTTCTGCTTCTTTGATATCCTGTTGCCAATCACGTTCACCAAGGGTGTATGTATGTATCCTGTGCCAATGCCAAAATAGTACCAAGTGATTATGACCCCTTATGCCATTGACTATATCCATTTCCTTGACTTCTTATTATGACGCCTCTAACCCCTTTCCGTAGACATTATCAAGAACTACCACGTCCTGAGGTCCTTCCTTCAACCATTGCTAAGAAATTCGCGATATCGGCAAGGTGCTCATCGGCGTCCGTAAGCGAGCTGGCTTTTGCATCTCCACTCTTGGCTCGCTTCGTATTGGCAGGCGACTCACTTCCATTTATAGGCGAGCTTCCGTTTGCGCGGCGTTTTCGCTTCTGGCTCCGGGTCTCTGAGGGTGAACTGCTGATTTGGCTTACCCCTAATTCATCAGCTCGTATGAATGGCGGAGATAGACTGCTTAATTCCGGCGGCGGCGACTGGCTGGGAGGTGCTTCTTCAGCAGTCGGTAATCCGTAATCTCCAAAGCTACCAGGTATTCGTTTCCCTTCTCGCAACATAGGCAATGCTATTGACTCGTGCAAGAATTCGCCGTTCGGCATTCGGACAAGCCCTCTGGCTTTCAAAGTCCAGTATGGATCCGGAACTCTCGATCGGGATTTTGATACTCGACCATTGTTGTAGCCGACACTTGAGCGATAGCTCGAGCTAAAAGTTGAGTTACGGAAGCTCCCAGTTGATGTGGACAAGGTATCTCCACCAGCACCGCGACAGCGAGCTCTGAGCATTGCTGTCTTCGACCCCTCTTTATAAACCTTCGGCTCTGGTAACTCTTTGAGCGGATGGACTCCGCGCTCAATTCGGCTCCTGTTTTCAGCCCTTAATCGCATCTTTCTCTCCTGGACCAGATCCGCCTGAGTTTCGGGGTCGTAATCCCGGGCTGCGTATCGAGCTGCAGCTCTTTCATCCGTCACCCCATTGAAAATACCAGTAGCAAGTAGCGCTTCTTCGATGCTCCGTGACTGTGATACCGGGCTTGATGATTGGGCATGCAGTTGTGTTGGGGTGTCTGCCCTTTCCCGTCCTCTCCACTCAAGACTTGGTCCAGTTGATGCCCTTAGTTGGGCGGTTTCGTCAACTCTGTGCTGGCTCCTCCTTAGCATCGAATCCGTCGTTTGCTGAATGATTCTTTCCTGCTTTTCCCTAGCAGCACGCTCGCGTTTTGCTACATTTTCAGGTAATCTCCACTGTCTCGCTTTCTCTTTTTCTTGATTCATACGTCTAATACGTTGACGTTTACGAAAACCATCATGCCAACGCCAAAAGTATTTCAGCTTGAGACTATTCTCCCTAAAGTTCCGTACTTTAGCATTGACCCTTTCTTCTTCTTCCCTTTGTATGCGCTCAATTTCCGCAGCATGAAACTCATCCCAAATGCTCTTCAAGATGTGAGTAACTGCAAATTCTTGAAGATGTGATTCCATTAACCCTCGGTCCGCACAAACAAACCAACGAGTAAAGTCACTCATCGGGTCGTTCTGGGGTATACTTTGAGGAGCAGAAACGCTTGTAGGGAAGAGTTGCTGTGATGTAGAGGTAGGTTTTGACGCTGGTTGTGAAAATATTGACGATTGGCTCGTAAGAGAAGTTTGTTTACTGGCCTCAGGGGCACCTAAGGGTGTGCCATTCGTGGGTGGTGGGAATGTGGAAAAAAGGCTAGCTGTTGTAGGTTGAAGCGCACTACTGATAGATTTTGATGGGTTAAGGGGTTTTGATACTGATTCTGGGGTGATCGATAAACCAGAGGGTGCAGGAGGTTGTGATCCGTCTTTGTTCGACGAGTCGGAAGCCTTTGCTCCAAGATTCGCGAAGAGAGACTTAGGCGGTGGAATCGATAGGTCTTTGTCGCTGTTTAGAAAACCGAAGAAATTTGGATCTGATATGCTCGTTGTGGGTTGGGCTGCTTGTGATACTGAAACATTGTTTCCGAATATAACCTTAGAATTTGCGTCATAATTCTTCCCATCATTATTTGGACTTTTATTAGCACCGTTGATGGTGGGTTGCAGCCATGGACTAGATGTTGCAGCAGCGTTGTTGTCGGTGTTCGTAGTGCTAGAGGTCATGGAATTGCCTGTTTGTGTAAAGAGCGATGGCTGCTGTCCCGTAGGAGCGGTGTATGCGGTTTCGGTCCTAGAGTTTCCGCTAGTTTGGGTAGAGACCGGAGTAAAAGAAGCCTCTTGAGATACAGGTATCGTGTTAGAGGGTGGTGGGGGGAGAGACTGCTTAGGGGGAACGGCAGTCGTCGGCTTGGTAATAGTATGGTTCCCAAATGTTTGTGGATTTGCTGTGGTCAGGAGGCTGGGAGGTGGCGTGGGTTGACTGTCTTCTGCCTGGCGACCATATCCATCAAGATTCTCGTGCCCATGGCGGTTGCTATCCGCCGGGAGGACGTCTTGGGAATCACTGACAAATAAGCTTTCCTCGGAAGATTCGTCTGAGCTGGTTGTTGCGATGACATTCTCTTCGAAGACAGTTGTACGAATAACTTCCGGAAGAGCTCGCCCAGAACGTTTACGTTCTACTATGTCCCCTGAGAAAGAATGCCGTACTCGAGCATCGATATACTCGCTATTTTGGGAAAGAATAGCATATCCATCTTCATGAAATTGAATACCATGCTTTTTAAAAAACTCAACTGCCTCTTCTTCTGTATCAGTGTGTAGGCATTGCTTTAAAACGGCCGGAGTCAGGTCTTTCGGGCCGAACCGAGGTCTCGAGAACGATCTCTTAATAACTTTCAATATCCCTTTTCGCACGTTGTTGAAATGTATCTCGGCAAAGCAGGCCATGGTATATGAAACGGCCGGGTGGGCTATGAGCTTGAAGAATATCGAGATCGCGTCAATAGCTAATTGACTATATGTTTCTGGATATAGAGGACCCTGCATTTTTCGGATATTGTCGATGCATTGGACGATAGCTATTGCGGATTTGATTCCTTCGGCATTCCCAAATCGAACGTCCCAGCCTTCTATCCTTTCCATGAGCGCCGGATTGTAGGCATTGAATACTATAAAATACCCTCGGAACTCGGGCTCGTTTTTACATTCGATCCCCTGATGTGCACAGTCGTCATATACTTCCATTAGGGAGATTAAGGTCTTGCTTAGTTGCTCGACTTCCTGTTGCTCCGAAAAGTCCGTGGGGGCGAAGCCATCCCGAGAGAGAAGATGAAGCGACGTAACGTGAAAACGAGTGATGGTCTCGAGGCAATATATTTGATCTAGTATCTCGTCGGGCGTCATAGCGTATTTCTGGAATGAGAAGTCTATTCGGATGGCTCGAGTTCGGTCCCAAAGGAAACTATGCCGTTGCGGTAATAGGTCGTCCGACGAAACAAGATCGATCAAATAATCTAAAGTGCGACAGAGGGTTCGGACGGATCGCACGTCCATGGGGAGGGGTGCGTCTTGCCCTGCAGCCGAACGAGCAAGTCGCTTAACCATAAGTGAGGGCATTGCGACAAGATCGCCATTCTCGTCTCTACTCTTCTCCGGTCCTCTGATATCGTGCTCGACAATACGAGTCACTTGCTCCCACTCAGGACACATATCCTCACAGATTCCCTTGAACACAAGCGCCTCGTCGAGCCTTCGCTTTTTGTCTGGATCGTCGATTAGGCCAGCTCGTGTGAGCGACTTCCGCGCCCTTTCCCGGTACGCCTTATAAGTTTCACGAAAACGCTCTATTGCCTGGCGTTGCGCAAAGCTTCCAGGATTCTCGGGCCATTGCGGTGGTTTGATTTTATCCTTGGCTAACTGGTTTCGAATCTTTTTAGCGAATTCATCTCGATCTTGATTGAATCTTGGGTTTCCCGGCACGCCTTTTTCAGTCGAGGTTTCCTGCTTATTACCCTTTTCTGAGCCTGGCGATTTTCGTGATAACTTAGTCCTCCGCTGGATATCATCACCACTCTTTCGCTTCCCATTAACTTGATTTGTGAGTGTTGTGGTATTAGCTGGTGTAGAATTAGTAGCCTGTGCCTGCTTTGGCCACGCTGGTTGCACATATTCGGAAGCTTTTTTTAGGCCATTGGCACCGGTGGTAGCTGAGGCTTGGATGTCACCGGTAAATGCCGGCGTTGGTTTCAAGAAGGGGTTGGGTTTTGAGGAGCTGCCATCGGAGGTTGTTGTCGGTTTGGATGTCTGCGTAAAGCTAGGTCGGCCGAATGATTCGAGCTTGGGAGTTGAATCTTGTTGACTAAAAGGTGAAGGCCGTACTTCGGCACTACTAGTTGTCGGCGTCGAAAACGGGTTGTGCGTGTTTGGGGGTTGCCCATTACTAGGACTGCTAAACGGGTTCGGCTTTAGGTTGAAAGGAGAAGCGGTAGACTGGCCGTTCGTGTTTATAGCAGAGCTGACGTTTTTCTTTTCAAAAGGATTCTTCATATTACTTGGCATCCGGAAGTCATCGTGCCGCCCGTTCGCCATTTGGGTCAGAGTCTGCAGCATCGAAGAATTCGATGAAGGAGGTTGAGCAGAATTTGCTAGGAAAGGATTTGGTGTGGGCGTTGCGCCGCCAGACTGTCCTTGCAAAAATGGGTTGACCTTGGGCGGAGCGAACGGGTTGGCCGGTTGGGTGGACGTTGGGTTGCTAAATGCTATAATTCAAGAAATAGAGTCAGTGGTCTTTAAACATCCTTACATCCTCACTTTCTTTTTTTGCTTGATTTTATATCATATCGTATCCCGGCTTCATCTTTGTTTCTCGCCTGATCCAATCGCTTTGTTGATTCCAGTACCAATATATACTCCAAGATACCGAAGGTTATTGGATTCGCTCGTAGCATATATAGCTTTTATCGTCGGTCGGGGAAGGAAAGCCATTCAACTTACGGTTGCTAGGCGGGTTCGGCGCCTGGCCGACTCCCCAGCCACCCTGCATCTGGGGATTAAGCATTGCGCTTTACCGCCGGGTCTGTTATATTGTTTGTCATGGATCGTAAGAAGTGATCGAGGTTGGCCGAGAGGGAAAGGTGCAAACTGGGGCGGACGGGGACCGAAGAAGTTGTGCACGGAAAGGCACAAAGAACCGTCGTCCTCGCGCGCAAAATGCTGCTCAGATGAGAAGCGCGGACAAAGAGCGTGTACAGATTGAAAAGGACATGTAATGCCAATAGCTGCTAGAGACTTTCGATATACGGATTTAAGTGATATAAGGGTTGGTTGTTCTTTAGAAGTGCTGGGTTTTGCTTGCTAACGATTGACGATGTTGCGATCGTCAACGCGGCGCGGCATTGGAGTCTGCAAGCGGAAGCTGGATTCTTGCCTGACTTGACCGCTCTACATATGCTTATCCGTAAGCGACCTAGCACTAGCCTACCTCTTAGTCACCTAGGTACATAGTACCTTGTACAACACAACTCAATCATTAACTCGGCCACTTGTGACTTTAGAATTTAGATTACGGATGGAAGCGACAAACATTCCTCTCCCCCGCAGTATTTCTCGGTGGCTTGACTGTAACTGCTTATTACATACCTCCTAGGCACTTTAGGTACCTGACTTGGGGATGAGGTCATTGCAACTTATTATAACTCTTACACTACTTTTACTTTGGTTTTACCGTAACTAATCCCTTCGCGGCTGTAATTTTTTAGTTGCTTTGCCGACATTGGATTTGCGCGCAACTTTTATGCATTTTCCTCTTTTCCCTCTCCCCTTCTCCCCTTCTCCCTTTACTAAATTATTATTACTAAACTCTGGGGCCAACGCAACTCTATTAATGCTCAAACACTGAAATGCTTGAGTCCCCAATTCTTAATTCCCACCTATCCCCTATAAACACCGCCCCGACTCCGCGCAACATCTTCTTATTCCAAGGGTCCACGTAGCATGGAAACTTTGATTTCACCTGCGTCAACATCAACTATATCACGCTCCCTCATACAATATACACATTATAGGCGACTACCCCTTAGTCTCTCTTTACCATTGCCAAATGGGTAATGATTCCTTCAGGATCACCTCCCGCATGATTACTGGCAATTGAGCTACGAAGAAACGAACGACGTCAGACCGGAGGTCCGACGCGCGAGCATCTCCATTCACCTGATTAGCTGACCCGGAAAAAGCCAACATCTCCATCGAGCGTCCGTAACGCGAATCTTGGCGCTCGCCTGCATATAAAAGAAAACCCTCTTAGCACCCGCCCCTACGGAGCAATGGCATTCCTCGAAGATCCTCGTCTTCGGCAGCGATGGAACCAGATCTCTCATACAACCGAGACTGTCACTGAGAACGCAGCCGCTGGTATATGGAGTTTTGGTCACACATACGTCACACCGTGTTTCTCCTCCATCTTCTCAGCGTTGGAGAGCTGCTCGACCGTCTGCCTCGGCGATCGTGAAGAACGAGCACGACGAGCAAGGGAACGTCAGCGGGCGCGAGGAAGGGCCGAATATAGCTTCGACTTCTACGATGATTGGGATGAGGAGTTGGGAGGCGGTGACGATGCAGGGGGACTTCTCGGTAGTTGGCGAGGTGAAGATTGGGATCAATTACTTGCAGGCACCGGGAAAAAGCGGAGCGGAGGTGACGTTCAAGAGCAACCAAAGAGAAAGCGCGGAATGAGCTACGGCACAAAAGGACCGCGGAGAAGATCCAGTATTCACGAAGATCCGACAATCATTCCGAGCACTGCACCTCTGGGATTTTTGGGCCGTCTACCGTTCAAGATAGGAGGAGGCCCTTTGAGATATAAACCTAGTGCAGCAAATCTACAAGAGCATCCCGGAGCATCAAGGTCGGGATTAGATACAGAACGCGTGCCGTTGTTGGACGAAAATGACGATGAGGCACACACTAACGAATCACAGTCGCATAGTAGGAACCGAAGTGGAACGGTAGGCAGTGGAGATACTAGCGATTCGTATAGATCGAGAGGTGATCTTTTCCCAAGCGACGAAGAAGGGGAAGAAGATGCAATACCACTGGACGACGAGTTCGCCATCGCGCTAGATCACGCGGATGATCGCGAGAGTAGTAAGACGAGGAGCAGCAAGGGGAAACGGATTGCAGATCGCAGGATACCAAGGAGTGTTTCGAGGGCGACGATAGATTCGGCAAGGCCATCCTTACACCCCAGCTTTGGTTCAGGATCGGTCCCAGAGAGCCCAGCGCTGCTTTCAATGGCATCACTGGAAGATTTACGACTCGAAGAAGAACGGCTGGAACGGGAGGAAAATGAAGTAGTAGAGAAAAAGAGACAGGTTGCTGCGGATTTGGCTCTTAGGAGAGGGCTGAGTCGGGATAATCTTCAAATCGAATCCGTCCAGGAGGTGAAATCCGAAATAGTCAGGGTAGAAAGGCCGATGGTTCCGCAAGAAGCTATATTTGATAAGGGATCAGACTACGGACAAGACGAGGCCGGATCTGGATCTGCAGAAGGAGAGGCTCACCAGCTACAATCGCCAGCACCGAAAGATCCGCCACAAGAAGACTTTGTCCCTGCACGACTACCATATTTCCGATGAGAAATATCACCAGATATTACCAACCCGTAACTTCGACTCGAACTAATACTCCTCGCGGCCAGTATGCAACACGCCGGCGGATTCTATCACAGGGCTTTAAGCTATGCTTAAGACGAACCAGAGCCCCAATCAGATGAGGTTTGATAACGCCTATGATGAGCCATGACACTATGCTTGATGATAAGGATTCAGCGTCACGTCGGAAACGTGTAATTGGTAGTGTAGGCGATCAAGCTATCTCACTACCTGTAAATCAATGTGTGTACGTGTAAATATGGAATTATGAAAACTATAGGGTTGGCAGAGCGAGAAAGCGGCCTAAGCCTTATAGAGCGTGCAAAGCGCAATGACCTTTGCTATAGCGAAGGTTTTGATGTTACTATTATTGCTGGGAATGGGAATTTTGAAATTAATTCTAACTAGACAAGATACCAAGCTTGAATATACTTATCTACCTTGATATTACCCTACTTGCATAACAACGCTTGTCAAATGTCATATTTTAGTATACCGATAAACGATAATTCTTAGTTCCTGACTTGACACTTCAGGTCAGACAAGTTACCTCATACCTAGGCCCATCGTTTAGACCATTACCGAAAATAGATGTGCCTCGGCATCTTTTTAGTTTACCCAGTTTACCCCAGATCTCCGCTTCGCACCGTCGAGCTTAGCTCCCGAGAACCATCGGGCTTTATTGTGTGGTCCGTATGTATAAGTTCAACAACTTCCATTTTATTACCTGGTAGGTAGTCTTCTAACCTACCCCTTTATTTCTTACATCTTACTCACGAGTAATGCGTATAGTTAAACACGCGTAACGTACGCAGAACTTCGCATAACTACCTGTTAACTACCTACTTAGTAAAAACGAAAAGTTCGTGTCGTACAACATCCAAGCCGCCCGCAGTGCTTCTTATACCGCGGGTCGGATTGTATCGTGACACTTTTGGTCCGAGGTGACCGAACTCAGGTTGCTCGATAAGACTGCTGAGCTTCGCCCTCGGGCAAAGCATCTCCTTACATATACTTGACTCGCTCGCATACAACCATACTCCACCTTGCATCACAGCGGCACGGTTCCCACCCGCGATTATAGACCCAAGACACGTAAATACGTACGTAAATTAGCAGCTCCAACCGTCGTCACAATGGCGCCGCAACCCCAAGGCCCCATCACGACCCCCCTCACCACCCTCCTCGGGATCCAACACCCCATCATCCTCGCAGGCATGGCCCGCGTCTCAGGCGGCGCCCTCGCCGCCGCCGTCTCCAACGCCGGCGGCCTAGGCGTCATCGGCGGGTTCCAATACACGCCCTCGCAACTCCGCGCCATCGTCGCCGAGCTCAAAGCCGCCCTGCGGTCCCCAGACCTGCCCTTCGGCGTGGACCTGGCGCTGCCGCAGATCGGCGGGTCCGCGCGCAAGACTAACCACGACTACACGGGCGGCAAGCTCGACGAGCTCATCGACATCACCATCGAGAGCGGCGCGAGGCTGTTCGTCAGCGCGGTGGGCGTCCCGCCCAAGTACGTGATCGATAAGCTGCATGACGCGGGCATACTGGTGATGAATATGGTCGGACACCCGAAACACGCGGTCAAGGCCCTCGATCTCGGCGTCGATATGGTGTGTCCGCAGGGCGGCGAGGGCGGCGGACACACGGGCGACATAGCCAGCTCGGTGCTCGTCCCGGCCGTCGCCGACGTCGCATCGCGGTACCACCCGCCGATGCTGAACGGCAGCCCCGCCCTCGTCGTAGCCGCAGGCGGTATCAACGACGGACGATCGCTAGCCGCGAGCCTGATGCAAGGCGCAGCGGGAGTCTGGGTGGGAACGCGCTTCGTCGCGAGCGTCGAAGCGGCCAGCAGCCAGGAGCACAAGCAGAGCGTCGTAACGTGCGGCTTCGAGGACACGCAGCGCACGCTGGTGCTCACGGGGCGGCCGCTGCGCATGCGCACCAACGCGTATATCGCGCGGTGGCACGCGCAGCCGCAGAGGATACGCGAGCTCTGCGACAGGGGCGTCGTGCCGATCGAGCACGACCTCGAGAACGACGTCGAGGATATCGATCCCCCGCACCTGATGGGCCAGGTCGCGGGCGCTGTTACTAAGGTCCAGCCTGCCGCCGAGATCGTCCGCGAGATGGTGGATGGTGCGGTGCGGATGCTGAGGCTGGGGAGCGAGTACGTCGATGCGAGTGCGAAGAGTAAGCTGTGAGGCTTAGACCCGATGGAAGAATGTGTGTGTGTAGGCACTCAAGTCCCGGCAGTGTCGCCCGCATGCATACATCATACCTAGAACCTTACATGTAGTTATGTAAGGTAGTAAGGAAGATATCTCCATGTAAGCAGGCTGACATCCAATACCCAAGCACATACTGCTACGATCTGCGGCCGGGTCCGCATCCGGGAGCCGGTACGCGCCTTACCGGCACCGAGGGGGAAGATGATGGATGACCTTACTACGTACATGGCATAGACGCAGTGTGACCTTACCTCTATTTCGCGGGAATACCCTACATAGTACATAGATGGATGCATCCCACCCTCGTCATTTCTCACCGAAGGCAGAGTCCTAAAGTTGGACTCGGGAGGATCGGCCCCAAAGGGGGAAAAGGGCTTGTACGATCATGAATTTGGAAATTTGGGATCTGGTCTGGTTTTGGGGGCGGTATGAACTTTATTGGAATATACCTATGTAGGATCATTCGCAGTATGTATGTGTGTACCTACATAATGTAATAGTAAGATCTACCTACCGTCGTTGTCGTCGTCATTTCACTAGGTACATACCTAGAATCCCTATCACCGCCTCTCCCACCCATTCAAGGGTGAACAGAAGAAGAAAATAAAAAGTAAAACAAGATAAGGGACTCCGAGAACCCCGCGGGGACGCGTGTAAGGTTTGCGCGGAAGAAACATTCATGACTCAAACCATTCGCCCTCTATACATATCTACCTAACCTAACCTACCTATGTACTTAGTGTATAGTACATACGTAACATCTTAGGTACGGTACCGTAGTCTCGTCTCGTCTGGTAGGTAACTTGCAGTTGTCGATATTCACATTCACAGGCTTGGTTGGGGTGGCTTGCATGATGCATTTACCTACCTAACCTACCCATCGGATGGGCCATGCATTTCGTCGTTGCGTAACGGAGAAAAAAGAAACACAGAGAGAGGTAGGGGGCGGGTCATTGCGTCCCTCGTTTGTGGCTTGGGGCGGTATGCACCGTACTGGCCACCTCGTTTTACATCATGTCGATCGATTAACATGAGAAAAAGCCAATCGATGGACATGCGTACGTAATCATCGTAAATAAGTAGGTTAGATACCTACCTACAGGTAGGACAAGACAAGTTTAGCAAGACGAATTAGATTGCGTATGGATGTCTTAGAAGCTAGGTATCGAATTCTAGGGGTTTTTTTCATAGTAACGCCGGTTTGCCATGTATCAGGGTCTTTATGTAATTCGTCACCCTTGGCATCACGATGAAGCAATTGATCTCCTCTCCATGCTGAGCACGTTTGAAAGTTAGTTCCTACTCAAGCTAGAGACGAGCAATTCTTTCATCTGGTTGGTTCAATTATTCATGGGTGTACAGCATAATGCACAGCGTGAGATGAGAAGAGACAAGACATGTCGCATTTGACGAGTGTCTACACTAAAAAAACAACAACGAATCAACATGTCCATCTATCCCCGCGGCTTTTCCTAAACACTGCCGTCGACAACGCTGGTTCCTTCTCCCATTGCGCTGGTAGTACCATCATTAGCGTGTCGATCTCCTCACGGGCTGCCTGCATCCGCTTCTTCATGGGATCCAATGTGCCGTTCTCTTGTAACTCCTGCTGTAACTGTAACTCCTCCAGACGTTGCACCTGTCCCTCAAGCAGCTCCGCCTCGATATCTTGTGGTTCGTCTTCTACTAGCTGGGGGAGAGGCCCTAACTCGAACTTCTCTGTGTCGTGGACAAATATTATCCGTTCCAGCGAGTTTAAATCAACCTTCTTCCATCGTAGCACTCGCCATGCGCCCTCGGGGACAACTGCAAGGCGTTGTACTTGATCTAATCCTTGCGTAGAGGCCCATAACGATGAGCATTCCGGTTTCAGCTCCGAGTTGCCGAAGAATAAGGTATCCCGGTTGAAATCAACGTAAACTCTCGGTTGTATGCTGCCTACGCCAAGTGAAAGCTTGTAATGTTTGAGAGCCTCGTGTCTAGCTTCGGCGTTGACATGTAATAGAGCGGGGATCTGTGTGGTTGAATACCATGTCTCCCCTTGGCTAGACGAATCCAATATAGCTTCTTCCAATGACCTAGGAGTCTGCTTCTGTCCTGTGTATGGTGACTTGACGATGACCGTCCTAGGATCAGGCATAGCATGCTGCCATATTTTGATCCGTAGTTCCGGGGGGAGCTCGTTGAACTTGCTGAATGTGGTGGGGCTTTGAAGCTTGTTTGACACTCGTGATAATGTTCCCTCCATTGTGCTGTCGATGAGGTTGAGCAATTGGTAGTATTGAGATTGTTGCCAACGATAAAGCCTTATAAGTAACAGTATCGAACTGACAACAGGTATCATGGCGACGGGCACATCGTAATAAATAGTTGGGGTGTGGCTCGTCCTGCCCGGCATGGTTATGTATAGCCCTGTAGGCTATAGGGGGGTTTCTTGGTTTCTTGGAGTAGGATGGGATACTTGATGCAGTACTTCTTCCAACTCCAAGCGAGGGTGTGTGCGTGATCGATGCGTAATATAAGTGATCAATCAGTTGAAACGTCCTTATAGGTACGAATTATAGGTGGTACATAAGAATCAGCCCCGCAACACGTTTGAGAGGATTCATAGGTAGGATTTGGGGTCTACAGATTAATATCATACACGGGGAACTGCCGCATGCGGTTTGAGGGTTGTCAGGTTTATATGCGAGCAAAGAGGAGGGGGGTTTTTTATTTCCATCCATTATCCATGGACCATTGTCATTACTTGTTGCCCCACACCCACGTTTGACAGACGGGGGGAGGATGAACAAGCAACTCGCTTCTCAAGGGTCCAGACTTTCTTTAGAGCGAACGCCGTGGGCCGGCGCGAGACTACCTAAACTGGTACCCTAGGTACAGTCAAAGGGTTAGGCACTATCGGGTAGTATTGTACCGTACCTAACCCTTAGCGGTGACTGACGAAAGTTTCATCAGACAAGGGACCTGGGATTGGAACGTGGTTTGATGAAGCGGCTCAAAGCCACAGCAGACTAGCGAGTTACTCAACCCACCTGCCCACTAGACGTCCCGAGTAAAAGCGGCCGCGGCCACCGACTCTCCGTGTACATACTTTTGTACTTTGACCATGGGCAGACTGGCAGACCAGCAGACCAGACCGCAGGTTAACCACATAATTAACCACCTAACTAAAAGGTAATGCAGCTGCGGCTACGCGTAGCCTAACACAAATTGTTTATGATGCGGTTAACCAAGGATGACGCTTGACACGTAACATATGTAGTTTAACATATGTAGTTCGTCCCGCACCATGGCGAATCCCTTGCGGTAAGCCGGCGTTAGTTTACCAACAGGTGACAGGTGATCAGATTTGTTCTCGGTATCCTGCGGCTTCGGGCGCGGTTAGCCGAACTCGCTCGAGCTCGTGCCTTAAGACTCGTCGGTTCCGATGCCGAGATAACTAAATCAAAGAAAGTGGGCAGCTTGCGTCGTCCCGTCTGCAAAGTTACCTACTTCTGGCTTCCGCTTATCTGCGCGTGTAGCTAAAGGCAGGTAGGTAAGGCAAGTTTCCACGAAAGCCACAAGCCAATAACTACTCGGCCGAGTGTGATCGTAGGAACCGTAGACATGCGTTCTGCTGTATCCCGTGATGCGATGCTGATTACCGCCAAACTCACCTCATTACCCCAGGAATCGCGGTAAGTCTTGTAAAGGATTCGTCTCGAGGTGAGACATGGCAGCTATTGAGAAACGTGATTGGGCAGTATAGAAAAGGGGTGCAGGCTGGCTTAACTTCCAACTCTCCTAGCCAACCAAAGAGCGATCTAGAAGTGCCAGGATTCTAGAGCTGGGGCTAAAAACGCAGGGTGGATGAGATTCATCGTAGGAAATCGTGGAGAAAGGAAGAAGCAGCTGACATGGGGGGCTGCGAGATGCTAACCACGCCTGGAGAAGTTGGCGTTACTGTTAGAAACTTACCCTTAGGTTAGGTACATGAGGTAATGAATGACCCAAAATATTCTTAGTCTATTATGAGGTACCTTAGGTACTGTAGACTGTATGTAGTCGGCATCGCTGTCCAGCTACAGGCCGATAGAAACGTAAACAATACTTCAGACGATTGCGTCAAACATGTGTGATGGAAACAAGAAAGGCGTCTAAGAAATTGGGTACCAAAAGAAAAAAAAGAATCATAGGGCAAGAATGACAAAGTCTCGCTAGTCGCGGTTCCTGTCGGTAGTCGGGGGCCATGGACTCCCGCCGTAGTGGGGCTATGAAAAGGGGTGTTGACGCCGCTTACACCAAAGGGTGACGACTACCTAAACCAAACCACCAAATTACAAGATGCATCTTACCTATTGTAGAGCAGTATTTCAGCCCCCTAAAGTCTATTCATCATTGTACATTAACTTACTAACTAATTAAAAAAGCCAACATTCTTGGAATAGGGCTCGGCACTTACTTAGATAGGAGACCGTTAAGCCTTCGAAGCTTGGCACTTCGCAACCTCATATACCTACCTCATAATAACGCAGGTCAGATCCTAATCGACCACAGCCACTGACGAGCTGTAGGTACGTACAACTTGCATAGAATTGCAATTGAATTAGTTTGCTACAGTAACAGCAGAATTAAGGATATGTTTCAACGCAGTGGGCCTACCGGCATACGGGTTATTTTTTCGCGTAGTACGTCATAACGCTATATTGCCGCGACCAAATGACCAAATAAACTTGTCGCCAGAGTCAAAGGCCGACCGCCGACCCGTCGACCGCTTCCACTTATTCCCAGCCCAACACGATCACCATTCGCAATCTGCGACTTTATTACCTGCCGTCTGTTCCAGGGGAAATTACCGGTGTCGTGGCATGATGCTCCGAGGCTCAATATTTTGAATCATCTATGTACCTGATCACTGCGAGAATACGCGTCCGTAATATGGCGCAAAGTCGGAGATGTACCTACCTATCTCTGCGTTACCATTTAACCTACATAGGTTAGGTTAGGTACCTAGGTATCCTACCCATTAATAATTATAAATAATGACCCAAAGATCGAGGACGGGAGATCATCATGAAAAGCTTATTTTATGAGCACATTTCTTTATGACGAAATCTCACCTCATGCATAACCCATCAACACGGCGCATCGTACATTTCCCAACGTCTTCTCAAATCATTGGTCCCTGTCAAGTCGTAGCCCAGCTATCTCAGTCACCGGCAGTGACTCGCCCGGCGGCACGTGATAATCCGAGCCGGTGGTTGCTCAGTTGGGCAAGTCTTTCCAACATTCCGGTTTCTGATTGGCTGACGAAATAATGTCACAGATCTGACTGGCATCTTAATATCACCCAATCAGCTGTACTATTTATAAAAGTATCTCTCCGCCGCGTCTACTATATCTTCAAATGCGAGGATCAAAGATTATTAGGAGAGTTTTTGATTCAATCAAATTTCCTATATCTAAAGAGGTTTATTTATTGTGTAGCACTCTCGCACTTGAGGACATATATCTAACTTACAGCCTCAATCAACACACTGTCATTCGCACTTAGATCTACGGTACCATTACATGGCAGATAATACCCTCTAGTATGTGTTAATTAAGGTATAGTCATCCGCCTAGGCGCCTTAATAAGGGTACCAATTTAGAGTCCAGTCGTGAGACTCGAAGGTAGCGAAGCATAATAATGCCGATATAACCGACAATGGTCTAACATAATGCTAATGAGGTTTGGAATAGGAATTGCCGAAGATTCGGATCCTCTCTACAACCGTGGTAGGTAACTGGCCACACGCTGACAGGCTTGGCTAACAGCCACGTGTGACGTATTTTATATAGCAAGAGAAACGCCATCTGTAAGCGGGGAGTGACTAGGTAAACACTGATAGTAAATATCACCTTTATATATTACGATGTAAATCGAAACACTTCACTAAAGACGGAATCTATTCTTAAATGAAAGGTCCTCTCAGCCTAGAACTAAAACTTCTTCTAAAGTCGGCACCGAGTTAAAGGGAGTATCAGGAAGAATGAGATGCATCAATACCCCTATTACCAGTCCCGGCACTTTAGCCACATCTATTTTTCAGCCTCATCCGAGTATTCCGTAGAAATATACGCATAGACTTAATCCGACGCTTTGTTAATGATATCATCTAGCAGGGCCCCTGAAGATCTTCTGTATAGGCATGCCCAATCGACTAAGAATTAAAGTTTCGCTCCACAGCATCAGACACCATCATTCATGTAAGACGACTCAAGAGAATGTTCAAATGATTACTGCTAATGTAGAACGCAAGCCATCTCTATGATGCCTACCCCAAAGCACCTCGATTCCTATCGCAAGCCAAACCGTATTGTTACTAAAGTAGAGAATATCGTAAGGGATAACACCATGTCTAGCCTAGGTTTAGCTTCCGTAGATTTATATACTAATACTTAAACTAGGCTAAAGATCGAAGCATACTATTCCATCTTAAGGCATTATATCTCTTTACTAAATCTAATTTCAAAACTATAGTTGTGCTACTGAGTGTCTTCGCGATCTCTCTGAGGTTTTCTGGAGTCGAGCTTGGTATGACGGTAACGAACCAACCCGCCACTAGCTACATAGTATCTCGAGTCCTCTTGATGTTAGCTTGGCTTTGGATACGTTTGCTCGTCGTAGATATCTCGAATCAGAGGCTCCCCGGGTCGGTGGCCTAATATGCTATCAACAAGCCTTGGCGACCAATGCCTTCAAATCGACTTTCTATAGAAGAGGCACAACAGACTCTCGGAATCATCGCACCAGTATTGATTATAATAAGCGTAGCAACGGGAAGCTTTATTCCTAGCGCGATGAATATTATTCTGCTCTGGTTATATAATGACCTAGACGGTGCGAATTCCAGTCCAATACCCTTGATCTACGGGGAAGGTTGGGCACGAGCGGCTCTAGCGATATTGGTCCCCCTCTGGTCAATGGTTTGCCTAGTATTCTGGAATATAAATTCACCGGTTGCTTGGATACCAACACTATTCATTGGGGGCGCTATTTCACTGATAACTACGTTTCGTCAGGAGCATTCGTATGATGAGATCGTGTGGAAGCTTTTGGTCTCTTTGGATGGCTCAACTCCCGATCTTCTCTTCAAGGACTTAAGAATCGAGGTCCATCCTCAGATAAACACCGAGGGCATTTACACACCTCACAGATTATTCCGAGCCGACTCATCAAATATTTAGTGAATTGTAAATTTTCATTTGCGTATGCCATTTATACTCTGACCTATAGAATTTTACTATGTTCTCATTAAATCGCTCTGATTTGCTGCCTTTGACTTCAAGCTCACCTGTTATTCCACCAAGAAAAAGGATTCCTAGAGCTTCTTAAAAACGCCAAATCCAAAATAGTATTGAGGATAAATTTATACTAAGAACTATCTTGTACTTTTGACTGTCATCGGTCACGTTCAGTTGCTCAAGGTACCTAGGTTAATCAATTATAGAGAGCCCCCCAGTTTGAATATTAGTACCATTCTTGTAATAATTATTTATTAGAATACTAAGGCCCATTAGAAAGTAAATATCTTTTAAATCATCTAATGCAAAGTTGAGAGAGATTTATGGCGTATATGTATGTGCGCATACGATTCCCAGCGTGAAATAGGGGGGTTGAAACGCCCTATCCAAACCAACTCACCTGCTCAATATGAACAAAAACACCACGGAAAGACTAACCACCTACAATCGCGCTCATAATACGTGGTCGGAATACTCGATACAGTTAGAATAAAGATGTAGGGTATCACTAGACATGTGAGACTGGATTGCCGTTTTTAGAATCGCATGTGCGATGATGACTGGGGGAGTTGATCACACACATAAATATCCGTCTTCTCTCTCTAGAACCACCTCAAATACTATCCTTTCTACCTCAACAATCGAAAACTCAAGGCGTAGAACTACAATGCCAAATGAACACACAACTCCCCAACAATAGGTACGGTTCAGTGGCTGTTTGAAGTCTTGCTTCCACTTAGACGTCTTGTTATAACTCCCGCCTGGGTATTTTTCATTCTGTTACCATTGTCAGCGTGGCGCTGATGCTTTTGCGTAGCCGGTCGGTACCCTTCTATCAGGAGAGCGTGTATTCCGCCGACTCTCCGGAAGATCAGGAAGGGTCGAAAGGCATCGAACGTTGGATGCGTTGTCCAACTCCACCCATATCCGTGAAGCTCGTCGAAGACGAGTTCGATCGAAAGGCAAAAGTACCTCCTAAAGGGGAACGAAAAGCAAGGGTCCAAGGAAAGCTCGCCGCAATCGAGAGGGTAATAAACCCCAGATCATAGCGGGCAGGAAATATGCCTGACACCTTGAATGAGCCGGCGAGGGGACGCATGGCATGTGGGAGCGGGGGCCCCTTATGCGATTCGCTTCTCCCTCATACAGGGGTGACGGCAGCTCCTTTAGCAGATATAGTCAGCCTGTTTAACTCTAAAGTTAGCCAACTGACAGACGACGAAGAGCACAAGGAGTACCTAGCTTGCCCTTTCTGGAAGCATAATCCCGCCCGATATCTTCGTGTTAAGAACTCATGTACGGCTGGTGTTGGTTTCAAGAATATTGGGAAGTTAACGTGAGTAGCTATTCGTTGCTATTCTGACTATTCCCGGCACTTATGCTGATAAATTCCCCAGTGAGCATATCAAGAGGGTACACTGCCTATGGAACGGCTGCGAAAAGTGTCTCATGAGGTTTAACAAAGCAAAAAAGGAGGAAGTTGGCGAAATAAAACGGAAGCACATGGTCAATTGCACACAGCCGATCAAGAGCTTGACGGAATTAGATGCTGAATGGATGAACAAGGATCAAGATGAAGCGTATGGGCAGCTCAATTTTCAGAAAGATAAAGGGAGCCCCTTTCGATGCTACGAGAAAATATGCTGTGCGTTATGGGGACCTGACCCAAAAATCGAGATCCAAGAGCCCTGTAAGTAAAACGATGCCGTGCTGGATTGCCTCTTACCCCTTTACACCGCTGACCAGGCCTAGACCACCTACCCGGATTTCAAATGTCGGTCCTTCGTTGGCAGTTCGTAAAGGATCTGGAGTCACTATATGAACAGAAGAAAACCGAAGAGCCGCGTCCAGACACGAGACAAAATGCAAATGCGGCGACTACTACTACTACTGCACTCTCTCCTAGCATTCAGAACATCGATCCAAAGCTCCTCTCGACACATACTTTAGACAATCTATCAAGCGGACCGGCTCCTTTTTACAGAGGACAACGCAGAAAAGATTCGGGTGTATGGTCGTGGGATCCTAGTGAGAACCATGCGACCTTCGCCAAACCTACACTTCCCGAATTTCCTTTCGACGATGAACTGGGTGAAGAGAGTCCAATACGAACGCAGAATGAACCAGACTACCTCGATGGCATCTGGCCCGGTTTAACAGAGCCGTACGCAATCCCGGAGGGTCAATTTGATAGGGATGCTGATGGGGATGTCTCTTTGGAAAATAATAATTGGCGAATCGTGCCTGAGTAGCGTTATAGGAATAATGATAACGAAGATTAGTTTTCTTAACTTTTTATTATCATTACTTGTTTCAATATCTCTTGATTAACGTACATCTATTTAACGTAGCTTGCTCATGCACTGCAGTTCATTAAAACAGTATGATATATCTTGGATTCATTGCCTATATGTAATGTCCCCACCCCCCGGGCATCTAATTCAAAATTAAATGATTAGTATCGAGTAGGCGCAGTACAGGCGAATATAATAGGTAAAAGTTGTGATTCAGAAGTTTCTCGTGGTTTAATGAACGGTCTCCACTATGTATGAAGCACAAAAAAGTGAGCGGGGGAATTGTATGCGAAATTAGATAGTGAGTGGGATAAAAAAGAAGATATTCGCAAGACGAAAAAAAAAAAAAAAAAGAAACCCAAAAATAATGATGAGAGTGGGACTTGAACCCACGCGGATTTCTCCATGAGGATATGATATTAAGGTGACCTTAACCTCACGCCATAACCAACTCGGCCATCTCACCGTGATTGGAGTTTGCGCTATTTTGTATTATATTCCTAGGTACGTACTACCCCGCTTCTCCCGGTACATATTCGGACGGCAATGACCTGCATTCACGGAGGCGCAAACTTCCACTCTCACTAACCCTCACGTATACGGTATACGTATGGGTAAATAACTTCCTTGTCGTCGTCGAACATATATATATGTAAAAATTAAAAGGTAGAATAAATAGGCAAGTATAAAAGGTTAAGTACCTATCTACTCTCCGGCTCTCTTATATGGTTTTAACATGTTCCTACGATGAATTTAAAATCTTGCATAATATGTTAGATTCTCTAATCATGGGATGAAAATGATCATTGAGACCCTAAGTATTCTATATTATGAATTAAGATAAAGTAATGTTCTTAAAGTCCAATGAGCTCGAGATCTGTCCCGTTCAATTCCGAAGATCTAAAGGACATATTGTAATTCTTAGTAGTTATTATCCTTTTAGATGATACTTCTAGAACCCAACAAATTCTCTAAGCATTTAAACATGGCCCGATTAAATATGTAAATGTAAAACATTACATGGACTTCCGTAAATCATCTTAGGGGTTTTTACAACTCATGTTTCCCTTATTTACTACCCAGTAGCGCTGGCGCGTGAGGCAGTCAAATTCACCCATACGGCCTGTTAATTAGTCTTCACTTTACTTTTACCTAATAGTACGTATGGTAAGACGCCAGCTGTTTCTCATTAGCTTTAGCCAAATACGCGGCCCACAAATAGACAAGCTGAAACTCCACACTACTGTCACGGTCTGTACGGGCTATTGACAGTCGTGAATACACGGCTGTGGCCGAGCTACCTTAGGCGTTACTAGATATTGGTAGAATCGCTACAGTGTACTCGTGAAACCATGTCACTGTTTTAGTAATAGTCTTATAGAAGTGCCGTCAAGTACTATATCGATTAACTAGGATAATATGTTCTTGCTACTTGTCGAATGGGTGTATAAATTCCTCCTGAAATTAGCACCATGGGCCTTAAGGGGCTGTTCAATCATTCGAGACTCATTATCAAGCTAAAGAAAACCATATATCTACAATCTAACAACTCCATAACAAAGGTGATGGTTCTTTAAAGTCTTCTAATATTATTTCAACGGAATTGAAGTAACTCGAGTATTATCCCGAGATATTAACTGAAAAGGGGTAAACAAAAAAACATCTACTCAAGTACCCAACCAGTAATGTTTAAACACTCCTATAATCAAACTCTCGAAAGGACAAAAGCGCATTCTACTACTTATCACTTAAACTAAAGTGGACATGAATGAAGGATATAGTCTTTAGATATAAAATATATCTAGCAGTTTAACCAACTCTAACAAAATAATAGTTAATAGATAGCAATTTACAAGTAACTAAGTTACCAAGGCTTTTAAACATAAGAAAGTTCCTATATCACCTGCACATAAATGTTGGCGCCCCGGTATTTTCACTTATCTTGCTTCATATCTTCTCACTAATATTAATCTTCCACACTATCATAAAGACATATTTCCTATAATATTTCAATACAACTTAAACAGTATACACTAAGCCCTAGACTTTCGGTAGAGATCAGTATCAGACATCACTTAAAAGTACCGAAACAAATAAAATACATCGAGGCCTTTTCAAGGTCACTATCGCCACCGTAAATATCCTTCACCGACAACTTTATACCTGCGGTGTTACAACCCTCTCCGTTTGCGCAGTACATACATAGGAGGTAGGTAGCAGCCCGATACCTTTTCGAAGCAGAACCACATGAGCAATAACGGGCATGGCATTACAATTTATGAAGCAAGAATTACGCAACTTATCTAACGCTCGCTCGTGGCAATGTCACGTCTCATCCATCCCTCCCTCCCCCTCCATACATCCATCCATCTCCTGTCGATCACCAGTTAATCACGTGGCCACCATCCATTACATTACACAACATTACATATATTACGTTACGCAACTCTTCTCGGCGGAATTTTCCAATTTCATTCAACCTTTCCTACGATACATACCTACATACCTACATACCTAACACACTGCCGATTCCCGCAACCCAGCCAGAAAGGGGGGCCTTGGAAATAACCTCCGGCTACGTGTTCCTCCAGCACGGGGCCGTCTCGACAACGAGCTGGGAGTGAGTGGGGTATATACGCTTCGCCGCCGTGGTAGGCATAACTCGCCGATACGCTCCCGAAACTAAACCTCACCGTACCTCGCCTTACCTACCTATCATCTTCGTTATGCCACGCCCGGTCGAGCCCAATTTGCCCAGGCGCAGGGTAGCGTGACCTGCGTCTGAACCGGGCTACTACATACAGTAGCGGGGTGGGTGGTTGGTCCTCACGTGGCAGGTCCGCGTGCGCGCGCGCGCCCAGCGCGGCAGACGTCGGCTTTGGGGGCTCGCGTTCCACGGGCCCGGGGACATTAACCTAGGCTTTTAGCTAGCTGGAAGCGCGTGGGATATCCTAATCCCTCGGTGCCTGCCTGCTTCCGGCCGGGGAGAGGAGGAGGGGCGTCGGCTTATCGAGGCCACCGCAGCAGACAGAGAGGAGAGAGGGTAGGTAGGTAGGTAGGTATGTAAGTAGGTAGGGGACGCGGGGCGGGCTCCGGTCTAACGGTCCTCCACTCAACTTGCTCCAAACGGCTCTAGCTCATGCGGGCCTGTCCAAAACCGCAAAGGGCCCCCCATATTGTACATGGATGGAATTACAGGCTAGGTATTCGAGGGGACACGAAAAGCCTGAGGGGAAGATGTCGTCTTTACGTAAGTGGACGATAACTAACCACGAAAGTCCGGGGTAAGACTCCCTCCCTGCCCTGCCTTTCTCTTCCTACATATATACGTACATACATAGGTAGGTATATACATACGTAGATGCCGAGCCAAGATGCGAAACCCGTCTTATGCTCGTGATAACAGCAAGCACAGCGATCTCCAGCATCTAGTGACCTGTGATGCTACATCAATATTTTCGAGGCGTCCAACTACGCGTCTCCGCCTGGTGGACCTGAGGAATGCAGGAAAGGGGTTCCCTATGGGAAAGTGACAATAGGTAGGTATCTTCAAGTACAGTACTGTCCCGCTGATTCCAAGTTTCCCGTTCAAATTGCCGTGCTGTTTATTGCCAAGAGGTAGCTAGTGTAGTTATCTACGCTCAACTACGTCACTCCACGAGGGCATCCCACCCCATGCTCTATGCTTGTATGCTTGTGCCTACACTAAGCTCGTCGTCCCGGCCCGCACCCACACATGCAGAGCGGAAAATCCTCCGTTACCTCATCATTGGTGTCCCCAGAGCGGTGAACGAACTCGTAGCATCCCCCGCTAAGTTTCCGCTGCGAAAGGCCCTATTCAGCATTGGCCACGGATCTGCCGCCGGCAAGATCAGGTAGGAATTTTGGCGATCCTCCACCGTTCGTCTCCATGGTTCGTGGAGTCGACGCAAGAGTGCATCCTGCCGCTCTTGCCGCTGAAGAAGGGGTAGTGCCGCGCGTTGTTTCGTAATATGTAGGCACGTAGCCATGTAGGTGCGGACGTGCCTATATGGGGATTGTAGGCATGTGTATTTGGGCAGTTTAGGCAGGCAGTCCGGCCCCCCCTGGTTTATGGCTCTCCCGGAACCAGAGTTAGGCATCGGCGGATTATAAGAGCCTGGTATAGGGGGTTTAGGAGCTCCGACAAAATACTCCGACAAAATATCCGGCGGCTTTTACGTAGGAGTAATATCACTAACCCGAGGACATGGTGTCGTTGGTATTGGTAGCGAAGAATGAGAGTGTATGGCGTTATACGTACATGATGCATAGCACGATCGAGGCAACTAGAAGAAGCGGGACGGCAGGAATTCTGCATGGATTGCACCGTATTATACCGTAACTTGTAGCTGGTACTTGCATCCTGTACACTGAATCGTCTGTATTCACTTCGCTGCACAAGCTCCTCCTACCCACCTTGCGTCCTCGATTGGGTCTCTGATATATTCAAGTACTGTAGGTCGACGACAGATGCCCCGGCCTAAGCATTGGGCATTGCTAGGTATTGCCACGGAGCGTAGGATATAGATTCCATTCGAGGATAAATAGAATCCGAGAAAGAAGCAAAACGCCGACGCGAAGCGAAGCGGAACGGAACAGAACGGAACGGAGTTAGGGGAAGCAGGCAGCATGGATTGACCACACCTAGGGGGCTATTTCGTATGCTCCCCCGTCCCGCGCCCAAAGCAAAAGCCGCATACGTACCTATAACGTACGTGGTGGTACAGCGTACGGCTGATCGATCCTGCAGGTCCTTTTCTGACAGCCAAAGTAGGCTGTTAGCTAGCCATGCGATACAATAGCGTGAACCATCTTCTCCCCCATGTGCTAGCGTCGATGAGTGCTCATCCATCTACTGTACCCCCGCGTCCAGCGCTCACGTCACCGCCGGGGTTTGAGGTGAACAGGAGGGTGAGGAAGGATGCTCGGGAGCGAGCTGCAGGACCCGACAGCATGGTAAGGCTGTCGGCGAGGATTTGACAGGCTTGGGATTGCAAATCATTGGACGCCTGGAATATGCGGTTCGTAAGCGGCTCGTCATCATGCACTGCATGTATAGCCCTGTCCTATCTCTCCAGTGGGATGGAACACGGGGGAGAGAGGCGAGGGGGTGTGTCAGGGAAGCACGTCCCGTCAGCCCGCATCGTCTACCAATAAGGCAGGGGAGTCAGGCTCGTTTGGGCAAGAAGGAATGTGATGAAATTGAAGCCTCGTGCATTGCATGAAGCAAGCCGTAGCAACAATAGGCGTGCTGGGCATGCTAGGCACGCTGTACATGGCTGTACGTGATAGCCACGGGGGCTTTTGTTGCAGCTGAGCGTGGTACATCTCCATCACCCTTTTGCCCTCCTTACTTCGCTTCCGAGGACATGGGATTCTTGTCGGCAGCTGCTGAAAGCTGAGAGACGCGTTTTACTTCCTTTCCCCCCTCCCCTGTCCCTCGCTCTCCTTCTCGTTACTACCCACACCTGCTGTTGCGTTGGGTATTATAATACGACGTAGGTAATTCGTCCACGACGGATATTACTTAGGTACCTATGTAGGTTTCTATCGTTTGGGTTATTGCACATGCTACTAATGTAGTCCGCATTATCCGTCTCTTATACAGAGTACTCTTCATGGGCGACGGGATTGGTGAGTAAGCCAAGTTTCCGGAGCTAACTCCCTTCGAAGCTTCTAAGCGTCAGCAACTGGAAGGCTGGGCTGACGGTGGCTTACCGTATCCAGGAAACCTGCCCGGTAATAACACAGCTACCTGGTAATTCGCGCCCCAACTGCGGCAGGTTCAAATGCCAACACTTCATGCATTTACGTTGAAAGCAGCTAGAGTAGGATCTATCCTCTGGGTGGGTAACCTTTCGACTTCAACCATGGGCCCATAGGTACGGTGAATTGCCGCGAGTAACTCGAAGATCGACATCCCGCAGTTCCGGCGGCCTGCCTAGTATGGTAGTCATATATGCTACCTAGACGTCAGATCAGATCATGTTCGGGGCTGCCAGATTGGGTGACCCACGGGACTGGACGCGTCGCGCAAGCACACTGAGTTATATAAACCGTATGGACCGTATGAGCTGTATGTCAGACCCAAGGGGGCTGCATTGCATATGATGCATTATGCATACTGTACACATACACTATTCCATATATTCCCAGGTCCCGAGGTTGGGGTTCGCCCGAAACGGTAAATTAGACCCAATCGAGGCTGAACAAGGTCTAAGAACCCAATAAACCAAATATACCTCCGTAGAGTTACATTATTTCCGAGACCCAAGCCAACCGAGGCCGCCGTCTGGGCAAGCTATGGGCATCCTATGGGCAAGGTATGCTTACGCGCCATGGCCCGTAGCGGACGAACTCCTACCGCTTTTGGCAATTCATTACATTAAAGGGTAAGCAGCCACTTCAAAGCCTCTGTGCGGTCTATCGATTCTAGCTCGTAGTCAGCAGTTACTTAGCAATAGTTGTCAACACCTTAGTGGACAGCCATCATCATGATATGATAGTCTACTATCATAAATGATAAAGTATAGAAATATGAAGACAGTGATAAAAATGATAATGATGATGATGATGACCAAGACACGATACAACAATGACACGACGACGAATGAATGCAGCTTTGTGTAATTCAGAATCGCTGTGGATCCAGTACATAGTGTGCAGCGCGAGCCACAGGTATTGTTTATCTGAGTTCATGCAAATGCGAGCCGACATGCCAATGCTAGTTGAAGAAGAACCTGCTGGGGAGAAATGGAGTGTCGAAGTGAAAACTTGATGCACTTCGAGATATCAAGAACCGCCCGCCACCGAAACCCCCAAACCCCCCCGGTCAGATTATGAATCTTTCACCTGGAATTTGATCCTTCTTTGTGCTGCTGGTCCATTGCGACCCTGCGCCTCAGCTTGCACCATAGGTCCTACTCGTAAAAGCGAATGCAAATATGTAAGTCCAATAAAATGCTCTGGATAGTGTCCTCGTCACTAAGAAAAAGTCGTCATAAAAACCCCCCTTACCAAATAAAACACCTTTGACCCGAATGCTACCGTCCATGTGAAAAACAAATGAGAGTTTTTTTTGTCATTTCCCAGATCTATCTTGAAATTGCCCTTCAACACCAATGATATGCCTTTCTCGCCAATCCCTCGTGCTCCCGAGACTCTGCTCAAAGGGAGTACTTCGAGTGGACGACTGATATGGAACGCCCTCGATAAAAAATAAATGCAAAACCAGATCGTAAAAATTCGCTTATGGCCGTGCTACGCCGCCTCGCTTTTGAGAGTATGTGATCCGATGAGGGTATTCGCTATAGATTCAAACCAAAAATGGGAAATCATCGAGACTGGGCTGTTAACTCAAATAAAAGATGTACAAGTACAATATGATTCAAAGCCGGTTCCGCTTAGAGAGGTGTGTTTCGATCAAATGAAATGTGGTTATGTATCACCGTCGACGCTCTTTTCAAAGCTCGATTTCGTGCTGTTAGCAGTCGATCTGTTAAACACATTCCGACCAATATGCTTTAACTTGCCGACAGCGGCCTCTCCACCGTTGCTCTCGGATACTTTTGACACGTATACACTGGTCGTAGGGTCAACTTTGATATGGCAGAACAGGGTCGAGAAGAGGTATTGGTCCCCGTTAGAATCTAGTAGCGGCAAGGTTCGATAACCCTGTTTGAGGCTAGCAAGTTTTGCTGTGTAAGTTGCGATAAGGGCACTGCGACCAGTCGAATACTCGCCGTCAGTGGAAAGCCTGACGCTAAATCTGACAAAGAGCAATTCGGGGTGCTTAGTCGTGACGTTGAAATGAGCCTTGTGATTAAAAACGGGATTGAACCCATTTTCTTTAACAATGGACGTAGTTGACTTGAGTGGAGTGTCTGTATGTATGGGTATGCCCGCCATGCTGTCATGCTTGTCCCTCTTATCGTTGGTGTGAAAGATCTCGATCTCGACGTACGGATCAAGAGTGCGGCTAGAGCCCAGGCTGGAAGGACGAATGAGTTGCTGCGCCGAGATTATATTGATGTCAAAGGACATGTTTTGGCGTTCCAATTTTCCAATGGCTTCCAGAGGGAGGCCGTCGGGGAGTATGCGTATCTCGCGCATCGACGCAGGCTTCAGGACATATCCGGACTGATCAGTGCCGCCGTCAAACATGGCTTGATTCAACTGCATGCCAAGGTCAAAGGTCTGCCAGTTGAGTGCAGCCATCTGCACGCCCCTCCGCCAGTACATCAGAGGATTAAAGTTGTCAGAAGATAGACGGGAGTATTGGGGATATACACGCATCATATAGCGCATATTGTGGCGGGCCAAGGCCAACTTGGAATCCGAAGCCTTGGAGTGCCTCCTAAATGTGCCTTCCATAAAGGACAAGATATGGTTGCTCTTCTTGCATTCTGCCGATTCAAAGCCATGGAACTTGATGCCACTGCAGTAGACACCGAGCTCGCCTAAACTCTTGACAATCTTGCTCGTTTTCTTTTTGCCGCGCTTCTCTTCTTCGCTGTCGCATTCGCTTGTGCTGCTACTAACCGTGTCGTGAACCTCACCCTCATTGATGGTATCTACACGCTTTGCTGGCACACCACGTCGGGGTTGACCGGTAGGAGCGAGGAGCGGACTTGATAAAAATTGAGTTGGAATAGATGCGTTGTCAGAGGATACCGGCTTCGAGAAAGGAGATGTTAGGCTGTTGCCGCGTCGACGACCTGTAGTCTCACCGCCGTTACGCGTGGCGCTTCGATGCGTCCCCTTTACCTTAATCAGTATCCTTTCTTTTAGTTCCGTGGGCGACGGGAGCTGATTCGAGGATGGGTCCAAGGGTTCAGTCACAAGGCGAGGACCAAATATCTCTTTCATAATGTCGGCCATGACCTCTTGCTGTGGTCCATTGCAATGAACTTCGAGCGACACCCATAGTGGGAAGTGGCTTGCGGCAAATGCGTACTTATTGACGGTGTTGATCACCTCGCGGAACGAAATGGCGTTTGTCATGGCATATCCGTGCTTGACTATAGGCTGGCCATCAGATCCATCCCAGCAATCGATCTCGACGCTACGGCAACCACGGACAAGAGTCGAAATATAACCTTCGACGGAGGCGACATCTGCAATCTGACGGCCAACTAGATAGGTGTTATGAGAACTAGAGATGAAATACTCATTGAAGGGTCGATCGAGCGAGTACTCGGACGGCGGGCGCACAAGTGGGAAGTTGTCTTTTGATGTTAGATAGGCCGCAAAAGCTTGCTCGTTCATTGTGGCCGAGTCCTTGTCGAGGCGCCGAAACGACGCAGTCTCCGCCCTAGATCCGCCAGCTCGGCGAGCCCAACGGAGGAACTTATTCTCCCAGAAGCTAGGATTGCTATCGACGTCTTCGCATTGTTCGTCCCGTAAGAACCGCAAGAACTCTACGAATGTGATTCCCCGCTCTGCATCTGAAGCCAGCTTGAGATACAGCAGTCGAATATCTTCTCTTCGTTTCATCTCGCGGACGAATACCTGGAACTCGGAAAAATTTAGTCGCCCAGACCTGGTGGTGTCAGCAATGGCGAACTTGGCACGGAGATCCCTCTGGGCCATGTGGATGTGGAGATTTCTGCAAACGCGTTCAACACCCGGGAAGTCCATCTCCTCCAGAGCTGGCGAGTGTTCTTTGTTGTCAAATTGCTTCGACATCTCACCATTCCAATATCCACGGATGGCACTGTCATTGAATGCCATCAGCGAGGCCATATGTACCTCTCGGTGCTTCGATATTAGATCCAGAGCATTAACCCAATGCGCGAACGTCTCCTCATCTGGGGCGATCAAGTGCATTGTCTTGCTCCTAGACTTGTCAGGAACTGCGTAGAAGATAGTAAAGAAGCGACCCTCGTCGGATTCTGAGATGCCATAGTCAATCCGATACTGCCGGATGTCGGAACCTATCCTGACCTCCTTGATGTCATCGATATAGATACACTTGGTGGTACGGCCTTTCTCCCAGATTACCTTACCGGCGGCGGCCTCGAGAATGAAGAGCCGCTTCGACCTTTTCTTCCTGGATATCTTCTCAAGAACAGTCCCTTTCACTAACGCCATGGGTACGACGGGCCCGGTAGGAGCATCTATAAATGATGCAGAACCTGCTAGCGACGGAGCACCGCTTCCCGAAGAAAAATCCCGTACCATACTCTCCGCGCCATAGATCGAGCTAGGCTCGTTCATCTCGTCGTGGAACTCGTCGTCGGAATCCGTCAACAAAACAGACTCCGCCGCAGGGGCCGTGTTGGTGCTGTCACTCCTACGCCGGAGAATTCCAGGACCTATGCTTCCTTCCCGTCTCATAGGCGCCGCCGCCGACTGACGTCGAGTCCTGGCAAATTTACTTGCGCGATTGGAGAGCCGTCTTATTAAACCCTTGCCAGAAGAATGGCTATTGTTCAGGGCTTCTGCCATGGAACTACCAGTTGTTGCTGCAATGCTGGCATTGGCCGAGCTGTTGCCGCTAGACTTGCAAGTGAGGAGAGGATCGCCAAGGTGCAAGGGCGGCGGAGGTGGGAATTGCTCGACGTCAGGGCCTTGGCTACGGTAAGGTTCCGGCGAAGGTTGGATGGAACTGCTGGTGTTGGTTAACACCGCATGGTCTGGGGACATGATAGGAGAATCATGTTGTGAAGAACCAGACGCCGCCGTCGAGGCACTGATGGCTGAGGTGGGCATCGAGCTAGGTTGCGTGCTAGGTGGGTGGCTAGTCTGAACTTGAGTTGGGCGTGGCCGCCGCAACAGAGAACCTTGAGCGGCCATGATCGGCGTACTAGAAGAAGATACCCGGGAGTCGACGCTGGGACGTAAAGGATCGTTATTGTTGGGGGTTGCAGTCATGATATAGATTTCGAAGGGGGGGCCGGAAGCCTGCCCACGCGTGAATCGTTGGTAGTACGTGTAGTACAAAAAATATGAGACAGCGTCTATATGAGGAGGGCTGAACTTGTGGGCCTCATTTTCCCGGATATGTTTTTCATAAAGGCACCTCCCAAGAAAAGGGGAATTGGGGGGAGTGAATGTAAGTAGATAGGGTAGGTAAGCGAGTATGTATGGATGTATGTATGTATGTAGGTAATGTGTGTAGGTAGGTTTGGACGTGAAGTAGATTAGATGTGTAGTGAATGTACACACCGGGGAAGGCTACTTATTAAAATCGAAGCCAAGTTCGAGGCTGCAGGAATACTCGGCGCCTTCCCACGACGTATGTAGATGTCGATTGCGGTCCGGAACGCAAGGGTGCGGCCGAGCAGTAACCAGCAGAAAGTAGCTGTGGTATAATCAAGTACAGGTCTGTCACTGGTACGGCCCTCTGACAGAGGTACGTCGAGGTACGGGCACGGCCAGCTGCCCTCTGCGCGCGTGCTGTGCGTCTGCGTTGCCCTAGGTGGTAGACCAGGACCTAAACAGGGCGGGTATGGGGGACTGATGTTGCAATAGCTCACGGTAAAAATGGTGAGGTGGCAGGCCAGAATGCAGGTCGCTGATTTGGGTATTTCTAAGTTGGGGGAAATGGGTATTTTCCTAAGCGTCAGATTTCCAAGTGAGATAGTCCTCCAAGAGGAGACGAGGAGGATTGATATTGCTCTGCTGCAGCCCCCCTGCAAGTTTACACTCGTCTCTAATTATTCTCTGGGTTTTAGCTTGCGATTGACTTGAAAGAAGGCCCCGACAGAGAGATATATATACTTTTATATATATATCTCGTACGATGAATCCGGCCTGTTAACTTTCAGATCCCCACGTTTGGGCTGTCCTGTCGGGCACGTCCAGAAATAAAAAAAAATTATGCGCTGCCGCTTCGTTCCTTGTGAGTTAAGGTGGATCCTCCTGCGGTGTGGTGATGACTCCCTCTCTCTTCTTAGTAATTTTTTTGCTTGCCGGTTGTACAACAGAATTGGCCAAAAGTGTGCGTGATGACGTCCAGTGAGGCTCAGCAGCTAAGAAGAAATTGTAAAAAGGAGAATGGCCGACAGGGTGAACTTATGAGTTGTTACGGTACAGCGTACAGCGAAGCGAAGATCCTTGTGCGACGTCAATGGAATGTACAAAAAAAAATAAAAAAATCTGTATCTGACAGCGTAGGCGTCAAGGTATTGCGCTTAAACGTATTTGTTTTCTAGGCAGGTATTTGTTTCTAGGTATTGCGGAATTGGGCTGGCCGGAAACCGGGTCTTAACAAATGCTCAACGTAGGAAGAATAAGGAGAAGAAGATAAAAAAAAAGATACAATAAACAAATAAGTAATAACGTCAAAGTATTTTTTTTTCTTCCGCGAATTTGATGAGGTGTACAGCTCTGCTTGCCCTTCTTCAGGTGGAGGAGAATGGGGTCGGGAAATTATTAAGTGACGGAGCAGAAAAGGAAGGGATTAAAGCATGGCAAAGGCAGGGAAGGAGTCAGAAGAAAAGAAGAGATAGTTTTTTAGCAGACGGTCCCCTAAAATAATGGGTACGTACTTGCCCTATTCCAGTTCCCACCTCCAGAATACTAGGTAGAATACTAGATTATAGGTACATCTATACCCGTAGACAGTTGCGTTGTGTCAACGGTGTACCTAACCTAACCAAACCTAACCTGCTAACTTACCTTGTCGGTAGGTACTATAATCTAATAAGCTTTAGAAGAAGGGGGGGGCTAGTGTGAATTGAACATAATATTGTAATAGGACTCTGTTTTCTCATATCAGAACCTAACCTTAAGTAGAATTCCCAAGGGATCAATTAGGTTGGCGTTATGGTATCGTAATTCTGGGTCTGGGTACGGAATACAGTAAGATACTGAAGCTCATTCTTGTTGGTTGACAGCACGTTCAGTTTTGGACCGAACTGGAGGTGCATGTACCATGTACGTATGTACATACATACATACATACACATATATGTACATACCTCACATACGTATGTATGTGCATGTGCGTTGTACCGTATCCACAATAATTCAATCAATGGCAACATTGAACACACATTGATGAGAAGGAGACAGAGAGAGAAAGAGCAGTCGGCTTTGTAGATGTGGATACTTAAGTTACCATTACCATTGTTCTTCCACTGTTTGGGACTGGGCTGAAAAGTATCCTTGTACCTACATACATGCAGACATGCATACATGTAGGTATGCATGTACTTTGTACCATATGTATGTAAGTAATACCACAATTATGGATTCATGGGGGAGCGGGAGCTCGATGCTGAAGGATTACACCCGAGGCATTGCATTGATGATGGCTTACTTTAACTCTTTTCGTATTCTTCTTCTAAGTCGCTTACACGTTCGAACATATGGTCATAAACATATGGTCATATCTCGACGTTGCCCGCAGGCCCGCAGGGGGGATCTTCCTCAGGTACACGAATGAAGATGGCACAATCGCACGGCTATGTTATGAACTTCTTTAACTGAAGCGTCCAGGGGAAAAGCCGCTCATTGCGTGATGCAGTTTGCACTACCTTACAACCTTACAACCTTACATGTACGGGTATGTATGTACAATACTTGAGAACGGGGTCAGGTGGTCTCCCGCTTGTCGTCTCGAACAAGAAGCTAGGCGCTTTGCCGGCTCTTTGTCAACTCGAAGTTTAATGACAAAAGACGAGGGACAATAATGGCCGAGCCAACGGGAATCGAAAGCTCGAATACATTGTCCATGTAGTAAAAAAAAGCTTAAGTGCTACCTGTATGTCTGAGACAAGAGCCCGAGAGGCATCCCCAACCAACTTGGACTTGCATCCACCTGGTTTTGTTTTTGGATAGGCTGTGATATCAACAAGAAAAGAGGCAGACGCTTCCACCTGAAGGATGGCTGGCTATAACCCTATTGCGATGGGCACTTGGGTTAGTGATTTACAAAACTGAAACAAACATACTCGCTGTGGGTTCTCTCAGGTGTGAGGGAGCGAATGCCAATATTTTCTGATTATCGTCGGTGGACACCTGGAAAAAGGAGACCATGTCCAATCTAACTGACGAGCCAGGAAAAAAATCGACGGAGCGCATTTCATCGTCGGTAACTCAACGGCTTAAAGGCGAAAAGAATAAGACAATGGGCGCTACGCCGAAATGGGCAATAAAAGTCCAGCTCGACTAGGACAGCTACAGCTAGGCTGCTAGGGTCAGGGCAGGGCCGCCCAAGACAGGGCGCCAGAGTGAGTAGGGCAAGGTAGGGCAAAGGAACCAAGGTGGGTGCTGAGCCAGGTGGCAGATGCGGTGGTCCCATAACTACATCATCGACCATCTAAGCCTGATCCGCGCTCGGCTTCCCCAAGATGAGAAAAAATGTAGCGACAGGCATGTTTCTGACAGGGGTCCAGGGGGTGTACCAAAGACCTGGGTGGAAGGGAAAGAAGAAAAAAAGAAGAAAATAAAATATTAAAATAAAACCCGAAAATAAAATCGAGTACTTCGTATATACATACCTTAGGTAGGTAAACGTACGAAAAGGCTATCCGCAATGCTTAAGCGCCTCGGCTCAACCTGGTAATCTTTACGTCCCCTTTTCTTACTTTATTATTATGCATATATATTATATTGCTGTTATTAACGCATGGATAAGGTAGATATCGTTCTTTTTGTTTGCGATCGAATCCGGTACATTACGTTAAATGTTTTGTTTCACTCCAGCTTGGCCTGGAAATGAACCTATTATGTGTAACTTTGTAACTTTGTAACTTACTTACAAACGGGTAGTTAAGGGGGAGGCGAACGAAAAAAAATCAAAATCAAAATCAAAATCAAAATGTAACATCGTGGGTGTCAGGGGTCATGCACAACAAGGTCCCCCATCAACCTTATTACTCTCTTAAGATTCGCAACTTTTCCTAAAAGAACAAAATGCAAGTAGTAAAACCGTTCAAGGTTGCTTTTTCGGCACTCGGAATGTCAACCTAAAGCCAGTAAATTAAAACCTTGGGGGCGGCAATGCTGCAAGACATACGATGATGCGCGCCCGCTACCAACTCTAACCAAGAGGAAACCCACTCAAATCAAGATATCTAGATATATATCGTGGGGGTTTTTGTTGTTCTTTGCTGTTCGCGTTTCGAAGGAACATGTACAATACATACATACATGCTCCCGCTCTCTCCTTTTTTTGCTTCTGACAAAATTCTCCCGCCGCCCTCGCTAGAGAAGACCTTCGCGGATCGTGTCCGATGGATAATTTCGCGGTCAGCAGAGAGCCATGCATATATCTCTTGGCAGACCATCTTCGAATCTCCTGGTATTATATGGTATGGCTTCTCATCGCCATCCTCTCCTGATAATAATAAAACGTTGCCTGCGCTACGTAGCCAGTAAAAGCGCTTAGAAGCCAGAAACCAGACGCAACCTACCATTACACGCCCGACCTTGCATGGCCCCATGCCTCAACCCCCGTAGTTGTAGATCTCGCTGTCTCGTATGACGGCGGTGCTGAA